AGTAGGTGTGGCCCGGGCGAGCATGAAAAGCACACGCGAGTGATCCGCCGCGAAACGCTGCGCCAACGCTGGGAGAGAGGTGATGCTCGATAGATCCAAGAAGCGAAGCAAAACCCCAATGATGCCGGGGCTGCCCCAGAGCACCTGGAGGTCGCAGAGGGTCGTACGAATAGGGGTTCTATTAGCTATCATCATTTGATCGATAGTATCACTATTTATATTATCCGGAATGGCATGCTGGAACCAATACCCGCGGATATGCATGATGGAATCAATATCTCCATACGCATGCTGGAACCAATATGCCTATAAGCAAGATGGAACCAATACCTAATATATTATTATCCGGAATGGCATGCTGGAACCAATACCCGCGGATATGCATGATGGAATCAAGATCTCCATACGCATGCTGGAACCAATATGCCTATAAGCAAGATGGAACCAATACCTAATATATTATTATCCGGAATGGCATGCTGGAACCAATACCCGCGGATATGCATGATGGAATCAAGATCTCCATACGCATGCTGGAACCAATATGCCTATAAGCAAGATGGAACCAATACCTAATATATATTATCCGGAATGGCATGCTGGAACCAATACCTGCGGATATGCACGAGAGCGCACGGGAAACGCGCGATCGTGTCCGTGGGGACGCGGTGCGCGCGCTCATGTAGGCGTGCTGGCCATAGCCGTAGATGAGGCCTATGTAAAAGGCACGATCTGCCAATCTGCGATCGCAAAATTGCTCTGCGCGCGCGCGGCGGGCCTCGATTGCAAGAATTTTTGCATGAGGAGCCGCGGCGGGGTGTTACGCGGCATGGGGGAGCTACGTACGTCTCAACCGGTCCATCGGACCCACGTTCACGACGATCCACTCCATCTCGGAAGGCACAAGAAGACCGCGTGTGCTTGGTCGATCGGCGCCCTACTTGAGGCGACGTCACGGATCGGCCCCTGTGACGTAGGCGCCCCGCGCGATCTTAGTGGATTACCCCCGGCGCAATGGAGGCGCGCGGGAGTGGAGGGGATGGTTTGGTTCGAAGATGAGGTGTTGAAAACTCATCGGTGGTCGGCGAGCATCGCCCCGCGCGCGGAGCGCGCGCGGACCGCTCCGGACGGGTCCAGATGGGTGTGTCGCCGCCGGCCGCGTGGTTCGCTGTCCTCCAAGTCGATGTCGCTCTCCACAACATCATGGATCGTCGTCCCGGACGCTCTCTCGCTGTCACGCGCGCGCTTCTCCGAACTTCAACGCGCCGGCGACGTCGTTTTCTCGCTTCCGGGAAACCCCGCGCTCGTCGCCGCTCGACGGCGCTCTCGTGGTACGCGCGCGACGCCGCAGCCGAGCTCCACCAGCCCCAGCGACGATCCGCCCGCTCCGCCGACGTCAGCGCCGCCACGACGAGCGCGCCGCGTCCGCGCCGCCGTCGTCGCCTCGTACCGGAGCTCGACGTGCGAGGACTGGACGGGGCACTGCAGGTGCGTGCGCCGCGAGGCGCACTTCGGGAGCATCGAGACCCTCAACACGGACACCCTCGAGGTCGCGCCGGGCCGCGTCGACGCCCCGGTCGCCGCGGAGCGCGCCGCCGTCGTCGCCGGGTAGCCCGGCGCGCGCTCCGGTACGTCTTCAACAAGGGCACGTCCGTGCCGCCCTAGAAGGTGCACTTCGGGAGCATCGGCACCCTCATGGACTTCACCTTCATCGACGCGCCGGGCTGCGTCGACGCCCACAACGCGGTCCAATGCGCGCCCAGAGTCGCCGATTCCCGTCCCGGCCGCCGACGCCCAGAACGTCCAACTCGAACACGTTCGACTCCACGGGCTGCGCGATCTAGGGCACGCCACACCTCCCACACGTCCCGCACCACCGCGCTTCGAGCGTCACGGCGAACTTGTCCCGCGCGTACGTCGCCGAGCGCCCCCGGAACCGCGTCGAATCTCGAGCACCCGCTCGTCGCCGCCGTCGAGGTCCCACGCGCAGCACGCGCCGTCCGACAAGTCCTCCACCACCCCCGGCAAGGCGCGCAAGCCCTCAAAACCGCTGCCCGTCGCCTTTGAAGCCGCGGAGCCGTCGCCGAACGCCCCGGAACACGCGCTCGGCGCCGCGGTCCCGCGCCCTTGCCGTCGAGGTCCCACGCGCAGCACGCGCCGTCCGACAAGTCCTCCACCACCCCCGGCAAGGCGCGCAAGCCCTCAAAACCGCTGCCCGTCGCCTTTGAAGCCGCGGAGCCGTCGCCGAACGCCCCGGAACACGCGCTCGGCGCCGCGGTCCCGCGCCCTTGCCGTCGAGGTCCCACGCGCAGCACGCGCCGTCCGACAGGTCCTCCACCATCCCCGGCAAGGCGCGCAAGCCCTCAAAACCGCTGCCCGTCGCCTTTGAAGCCGCGAACCCGCCGCCGCAGATCCTCGGATCCCGCTTCAACCGCTCGGTCACCGGCAAGTCGTTCGCCGCGCGCACGCCACCCTCAAAACCGCTCGCCGCCGCCGCCGAGGACGTCCACGGGCGCCTCGACGGGGCCGCGGCGCCGGACGAGGAGCTCCGCGCCGCGCCGAATTCGTAGGGACGCCACGCTCTGTGGGCCACCCAGAGCCACTCGCTCACGCACGCACAGGGCACCTTGAGGGCATCATCGTCCGAGTTTTTTGGCCGGGGAGTTCCCCAAAACCGAGTTTGGGACGGCGGCCGGTCCCCGGGTCCCCCCGTCGCGAGTTTGGCCGCGCCGCGAGTTTTTCCGAGGTCGCGAGTTTCCGGGCGAGCGCAGCGAGCCCGAGTTTGGGAGCGTCGCGAGTTTTATCGGCCGCGCAGCGGCCTCGTCCGCGCTCGCGCGGAGAAATTTTGGCGGCGGGGCCGGCGAAAGTGGCGTTTTGCGGTGGAGTCGGCGTCCGCGGAGACGGAATTCGGGCGGCTGTTGCTCGGCGCCGCGGGACAGGGCCGGCGCCCGAGGGACCGTTTTCCCGGAAACGAGCGAGTCGCCGCTCTTCCCGGACGCGGTCCGGAGCCCCTCGCCGAGCGTGGTCGCGGAGACCTGCGCCACGTCGATCATCTCGAAGAACCTCCTCGGCGTCATGCTCACGTCGCTCGTCGACGTGGTCGTGGGAGACGTGAGAGGCTTCAGAGCGCGTCCGGGAAGAGCGGCTACGGGCTCGCTTTCCGGGAAAACCATCTCTCTCGCCGGCGAATCTCCTCGGCGGCGTCGAACGACAGCATTGCAAAGGTCCGAGTTTGCGGCCGCAGGCCGCCTCCGGTTCCCCAAAATCCCAGCAAAAGACCGAGTTTGGGACGGCGGCCGGTACCCGAGTTTCGGCGCCGCAGGCGCCCCGTGGCGAGTTTGAGCGCCGCAGGCGCCCCGTGGCGAGTTTGAGCGCCGCAGGCGCCCGTGGCGAGCTTGCTACCAAGTCGCGAGCTTGCTACCAAGTCGTGAGCTTGCTACCAAAATCGCGAGTTTCGTCGTGGTGAGCTTGCTACAAAAGTCGCGAGTTCGCGCCGCAGGCAAAAGTGTCTCTGGAGTTCGAGCGTGCCGCCGCAGGCATGGCGCGCTGGGAGTTTCCACGCCGTGACGAGTTTCGGAACGTCCGGAAGACGGACCGTCGGAAATCTACGCCAGGCGCCGCGGGACAGATCCAGGCGCCCCTCGGACGTTTGCGGGAACCGGTCGCGTAGCGAGGCTCTCGAGGCCGGGGACTCCGCCGACGACACGAATGAGCGTTCGGACGAATCCCACGCATATTTCCGAAACGCTTCAAAAGATGTGGAAACTCGTGGAACACTCGAAACACGCGTCGGAGTCGCTTTCCGCAGCATCGTGGATCAATCGGCGAACCATAAGACGGCGTCGTGCCGCAGGCGAGAGCGACGTCAGACCCCATGTTGGCGCTTGACGACGTAAAAACGCTCTCAGAAGCACCCGCGCGCGAGCTTGGGCGGCGGCGAGCGCGCGCGGAAGGCTTCGCAGTCATGTCCTCGTCCACGCGTCCCAGCGCGCAGCCCCAGCGAGCGATCGAAAGCGAGCGCGCGGCTCATCTCTTTCCCGGAAAGCGGCGACTCGATGGACGGGCGACCGCGCGCCCAAGATGGCTTCCCGGAAATGCCGCCGACGGCCAGCGACTTCGCCACATGACCCGAGACGAGCTTCGCGGCTTCGGCGAGCGCGGACCGGCTCGCGCACTACCCCCTCGAGTTCGAGCCACCCGCCGATCGCGTCGAACTGGCGCGCCCTCGAGCTTCTCCGACGGCGCGAACTCGCGCAGCTCGCAAAAGACGCTCCCCGGAAATCCCCAGGAAGACACTCCACTTCCGGAGAAACGCGAGTTCCCCGGCGCCGAAGGCGCGTTCGAGTTTCAGAGCTCGGCGCCGCAGGCGCCGAGCGCGTCGCGAGTTTGGGGCGGGGGCGGCGTCCGCGGAAGACCCGGCCGGGGCGCGCGAGCTTTCGAGTTTGCGAGTTTCGGCGCCGCAGGCCTCGAGTTTGCCAGCGCCGCTGTGAATGCGAGTTCCGTTCTCGCCCACTCTCTCGCACTCGCAAGCCCCTAGATCGGTGAGCGCTCGTCGTGTTGCTGCTCGTTTTCACCACTTTTTGGTCCTACTGGACCGCGGCGCGCGGGCGGTCCTGTGCGTGCCCGTCTAAAAATCAAACGCTCGCGCAGACGCACGCGGCGGCGCGGCGAGGGACGCGGACCAACTCCATGCGCTCCCCAAACCACTCGGCCGCCGGGGGTCGCACGCAGACCGGGGGTCCAGACGATGGAGATACAAGCCCCCAGTTTCGCGCACGTGCGACTTCCAACCACCGACCGCGGCGCCTACCTCCGGCCCAGGCACTTCCCAGGGGCTCTAGCGGACCACAGGCTCTAGAGACGGACCACAGATCGGCTACCGCCAGCCCCGCGCCGTCCCGCTAACCCTGACCCTAAGCCTCCGGCGAGCGGATGGGCGCCGGCCAGCGCCCGCCGCCGTCCGGCTACCCTAAACCCGAACCCTAACAATACACCCAGCGATGGCCGTAACCCTCAGCGAGCGCCTCTCTAACCCCCAGCTAACCCTCGACCCCACTCTGGGGACGCACGGGCCGCGTGTAACCCGCAAAACCGTCCAAAACGAGCCTCGCGGCGTCGGGGATCGTTCGCGCGCGCGCGCGCCCGCGCGCGCATCCGTCGGCGCCGAGAGCGTCGTCGTCGCGTCTGTCCTCGAGGGCGCGGCGCTGGAGCGCGTCGCGGGCGCGCCGCTCGCGGCCGCCGAGGCCGTCGCCGAGGCCGCCGGCGTCGAAGCGCTCGAGGCCGTCGGGAGCTCGAGCGCGCCGGCGACGAGCTTCTCCGATATTTGAGTTTGGTAAATAGACATAATTTGAAAGAAGAAACTGAAGAAGTACCAGAAAAAATAGGCGAAGAAGGAAAAGAGGAAGAAATAAAGGATGATGATATATTTGGTTTGATTCCAGATGATATATTTCGAAAAATATTGGATGATTTGATTTCTGGTGATTTGAATCTATGTAAACATTTCGGAATATTGTTCTGGCCTACCGATCCGGGCCGTGTTTCCCTACTGCGAGTGAAGACCAAGAGGGATGAGCTATTTGCGAGCACTGCTGCTCTACTGGAGAATGATGATTTCATGCGGTTAGTGATGCCAATTTGCGTGGTAGTTGAAGATCTCCAGAGGGAGATCATTAACAGGAAAATATTCCTGCCTAAGGCACTGTCCAAGATGAAAGAAGCGGAGTCAAGGGCATGCCTGCAACGACACTGTAAAATTACCATGCCAGCTCATGGTCATACTGACGGTTTTGTCAACGAGCTCACTGATGTTGAGGTTGCTTACCAGCTGGAGCTATTTGGATATGGTGGACTTCCAACCAGAAATTTATTACAAAATGTCATAGAGGCTGCAGATTTGATTCGGCGGGCAGATGTCTACTTGACTTTTCCTTGGGGTACGTCTGCAATGTGGGGTCCAGACCCAGAGCTGGTGGCAGAAGATGCACTCCACCTCATATTAAGAATGATGCCAACTGCAAATCACATTTGCCTATCATGGCCTCTGGTGCACAAGGACGCCCGAGCTGAGGAGCGGATGCTGATGGCGTCCCAGGCGATTCGGAGAAAGACTTCAATTTCATGGTATAAAGCAGCATGGCTTGATGGGTCTTCAAATACTGACATCATCAAGCAGTCCTTCGGTGACAGTGACAGTATGAAGCTGCTGGATGCCTGGCAGGACACTGACATTTTAAAGTGCATTTCCAGTGATGATTCCGTAATAAATAGCCTGAGAATGATGATGTTTCACTTGAAGAAGAGCATTGAAATTATGAGGATGAAACCAACGAAAAAGCCTGGTGATGAGGGCTATCAAGCTGAGCTGGAAAAAGATGCTGACCGCCTCCAGTATCACGCAGATCAGTGGTGGCATTTTGCGAGTAAGCATGTTGGAGAGAAGGTCCTTACCTCATATGGCCACAGCTTGAAGTGTGGTAATTTCAGCAGATTTATGAAAAAATGGGGCTATCTGATCTACTACAGTGCCGACGCTGTGGAACAGACGAACGATGATGCCATTGTCATCACACAGACCAAATCGCACAAATTTGGTGTGAAAGGCCAGTCACCTGGGAGGGGCCAAGTAATGGTGTCCCAAGCTGAGGATATTGCCCGGTGGTGCGGCCGCAAGATTGCCTATGCTACGGGAATGGACAAGGAAATCTATGCTGCCCATGAAGCTCGCTTGCTGCGCAGGAGAAATGAAGCTAGCCAGCGCATCCGCCCCCTCTTTATTCCGCGCAAGCCTGGAGCGAGGAACAGAAAAACGAGGAAGCTTCAGCACATGCGGCGGGATTTGACTCGCGACGGCGAGCTCTTAGATATCCGTAAAGTATTTTCGTAGGAGCTAAGCTAGAAGTTGAATCGCCGGGAGATTTTAGAGTGCATATGTTGGCTTTTTTTCGCCAATGGTACGCCCGCGGAGGGGGCTGGTTGGGTCTTTAGACGCTTTTGCTCCGATTCGACTCTGTGGCTTTTTGGTGGTTTTCTACATTCGAGTGCCCCCCATCGGCCAACTAAATGAACTAACTAAATCCACAAATTTAGTTAGCAATCGTGTATTCGAGTTAGCTCTCCCGAGTTAAGGAGAGCATGGACGGGCAGCCCCGTCCTCTGTGTCGATCTCCGCCCGTGCGCATGTCCATATCTTGCCAATGGACGTACTACCCCGCCGCGACCGCCGCTACGAGTGGTGCAAGTTTTACGCTGGGAGCGCACGAATCTGGTATGCACGACGCTCGCGAGCACGTCCCGAAGCTCCGCGGCAACTTCGCGCGCGACTTTCTCCGCCTAATCGTATCGACAGAACAAACTACGAGTTCTGGTGCGCGCGCGCGAAGGAGCTCTGCTGGCAGATGTCTTTATCTCCATCTAATTATTATTTTTGAGCGAGCTATGAGCAGCTCATCAGGCTGCCAGCAGCTCCATCGTGGACTCAGGCGAATTTCATGCGACGAATCTTTTGTTGCTTGCGACGAATTTCCCATCCGGCACTTATAGTAGGTCCTACCTACGAAGCGACCTTAGCCTTGGCGAGCTTCGCGCGGCGGGCCGCGCGAGGGAGGTCGGGGGGCGGCATCACGGGGGCCCAAAACTCAGCGACTGTTTTCGTGGGGGAGTAGAGGACATCCACAGAAGATGGCTTCGCCTTCTTTGGCTGGTGTTTGTTCCCCGAGGGTGAGGCCGGAGGCGTACGTCTAGAACCAACAGCAGAAGATTTCACAAGCGACTGCAGTTGTTCAAATGGCAAATCAACCCAATGCGTAGCTAGTGATAGAATCCGCGCATCAGCATCGTATTTCAGACACAAAGACGGAAGCTTCGGACGTCTGCAAGACTTCGCTTTAACAGGTTCAAGACCCAACTCCAGTGCAAGAGCCTGGAGATGTTCTTCATCTGCATCGCCAACAGCTGACACCATCTCCACAATAGCTCTCACGCATTCGAGCGGAGCATACGGATGGCTCTGTTCGGACATTGATGCAGCTTGTCTCTGCAAGGTCTGAGAGCAAAACACATTCCAGTAGTTGCCCAGGAATAGACTCACATGCTTAAACCCAGGAGCCCGGTCCACCTTGATAGCTGAAAAAGTCGATTTGCTTGCTACCCGATGCAATGCTGGCCTGTAAGTGTCACTCAAGTAACAATTTTGGCTCCTGGGTGCGCTGAAATGTCGGATTCCACCGCCACTGAAACCAGTCTCGATCATGGCCCATGTCTGCTGATCAACACCTGGGATGATCTCGCTGTTGCAGCACCCCGGTTTTGTTTTTCCAAGCAATCCGGTGATCCTCGTTCGAAGCATGGTCCGCAGTAGCCACTGCTTTGAAGTGAAGCTCTCATACAGCAAGTCTTCCCCATTCTTGTCCTTGCCCAGCTGCGGATCAGTCTCAGGGAACGTAGAAAAGTTATGGCTTTGCCCTTCCATCGAAGATAATGAGCCATCGGGCATCTGCTGATGACTCATGACGTAGACGTGCTCCATGCCATGCAGCAGCACCAACTTGTCACAAGCATCATCTATCGGCCACACAACTGCCACACGTAGCACGCAGTCGACAGGATACCAAGACGCGTCTGAGCAAAGCACGACTTCTTTTAAGCCAGCGGTTAAAGCCCGCTGCCTGACATTCATGGAGCTCGTCGGGAATTTCTTGTCATCATCTCCCACAACAGAACACCACTGGGCTAGAAAAAACTCACCGGTGTGACCATCCTGAGCAAACTTCTCGCGTTCGTCTTGAGGCAGCTGAGCGTGCTGCCGAACGTCGACAATGCGGGAGAGGAAAGACTTACCCTTCGCCTTGCCCGTGTAGACGAACTCGCCTGTGAGCAACAAACACTTGAGCTCTGCACTGCGAACTACCTTGCCATACGGGCTCGTGCCCGGCACTGGGTTCATGCGCAGCGATGACAAACGTGATTCCCGGTACAATTTCAGGGCTGCGCTCGGCCAAGATATGCCAGGGCCGCTCGGATACCTAGCCAAGTTTTGTAAGGATTAGTTCGAAAAGCTCGGAGAGAGCAATGGATGAAAGTCCATAGTTGTAAAAATCCTCTATTAAAGTTCAGAATATAAACTTATCAATTCATCCAATTTTTAGAGGAACTGGACTTATCGAAACCTCCTGGAGACTATTAAGAAAAATGGACACATAGGAGGAATCCCGGTCCCCGCCTCATTTGTTCTCCTCATTCCGGAAGCGACCCGACTCGAGACGGAGCAACTGGTTGTGAAAGAACTGCCTGCTACCCACGATCCTCCAGGGCTGGACGGCCTACAAACGATGCACAATGCGACGAAGAAGACTGAAGGATCGTTCTTCAAACCAGTGAACATCTCTCTGCATCCCTCGTCGAGAGTTTTCATCGTCGGCAGCGATGGCGTCGCTGCAATGGCAGCTTATTTGGCCTCCGTCCTCATGGCGTAGATACTGGTCGGAGATTTACCCGAGTGCAGAAGCCCGAGTGCTATTAGCGACGAGCTCAGCTCTTTCACAGATAGCACGAATATCCTGGTCGGTCTCCGTGAGCCAGGCGCCCGCTTGTTGACTCATATACTGTCAACGCAGCTAATATCGAGCTTGGCCTTTTATGCGTGTGTTTGCGAAAGTTTTCACGTCGTGAGAGGGCTCCCAGCCTACAGTACAGTCGAGCAGCTGTGCGACGCGATTCGGATTTTTTTTCGAACATCTTTTCGAAGCAGAAATCTCGAGGAGCTCCCGTCAAAATCTGCGTTTGCGATCGTGGGGAGCGGTATTACGGGGCTCATTGTGGCGCGCAGGATAGTCTCCGAAGGGCACCAGTGCGTCCTCCTTGAAAAGGCGAACGCATGTGGGGGTGTCTGGCACTCGCAAGCCAACATATCATCGAGAGTGAACACCTCGGAAGCGGCTTATCGCGCAGTTGATCGCGGAGGTGTCGTCAATTTCGATCACAGCCCAACTTTCTAAATTTTGAATGATCTCTCACTTCTGACCTCAGCATATCTTGCATGGCGGATCAAATTTAAGACAACCGCGATTGGGATTCGTTCGTGCCGGAAGATCTGACATGCAATATTCTACTCCACTCCTGACAAACATGCCACCATCGAAGCAACAAGAGTACTGGCCGGTGTGAATCGTCGCTTGGGAGCTACGCGCAAACTCTCATTTCCAGACGAAGACGACTATCATGGAAAAACATATTACGGAGTTTGCGGCGATTCTTCGCGTGTTCATTTCCCTCAGCTGGTGATCCTCATCGTCGGTGCGGGCGCATTTGCCACGGAAAATGCGCGAACGGCTGTCGAGTGCGGTGCGGAAAGAATTTCGGTCCTTTAGCGACGGCGTGGTGCTGTGAGCCCTTTGATCGTGGACTATCTCAACTTTGTGCGTCCATACGACGAAGGATACAGCCACGCAAAGTTCGGTTCTCAAGTGATTTTCTCAGCCTGGGACGCTGTCTTCGACCTTTCTGGGGCAAAGAAGCCGGAGTGCTGGCGATAGGGGTGAATTTCGCCGATCGGGCACACGCTATCAGTTTCGGATATCTGGTTCGTCGCACATTATTACGGCCTCCTCACGACAGTTCTGGGCGAGATTTCTAATGTGGGCAAAAGCCACGTCGCTACGGCGGACGACGGAGTTGTGATTTGATGTGACGTAATAGTCAAGTGCGCCGGGTACTGGAAAAACGAATTCGTGAGGCGACTGCTTGGAAGTAACTCGATCTACTCCAACAATTTTGTGCGAAGTAACTTGATTTATCAAGCCGAACAAATCTTGGACGATGCTGGTGGCTTTCAAACGCCGTTTGGTTCGAGTTACTTGGAGGCTGTCGCTTTTCAAGTGCTCATGTTCGCGCACTGTGGGTGGATGGGTTAGGGACTGCGTCACGACCTTATCGATGCGCCCATTTCTCGCATGTCCGTCGAATTGGTGCGCACGCTCAGAGCAACCGTCACTTGCCAGTGCGGCGAAAAAACGTATGATTCATCGCAGTTTGAACTATCATCGTCGATTCCTGCCAGATCAATTCGTATTCGAGAATGCGCACAAGTGGTACGACCTGGTGGCGCTTTGCGAATCGCGAGCGAATCGGGTTGGTCACGTGCAGCCTGCGTACCCGTTTATGACGCTGTGCGAGAAAGTGGCCAGCGAGTGGCTCGATGAAGATCTAGCAATCGGGAGCATCGCGAGCCTTGGCGAAGATTTGATAGTGACGAGACTGAGCCAGTGGGTGGTACGGGCATCGCAGTCGGGGAGCTCCATCTAGAGCGTCGCAGGCGCAGAAGGAGGCGTGGATGACGTCCTCGAACATCTCACAATACTTGCGTTTCAGCTTCTCGGCACCGCAATCTCGACGAAAGAACCCCTCATGAACGCTGGGCTGGACTCTTTGGCGGGCATTCAATTTGTACAAGCCGCCACTGAACATTTCTGCTGAGAGTTTCCGTCTACGTTGATCTTCGACCACCCGACGCTTTGGGCTGTGGCCGATTTCTTTCATTCGTAGACCCAGTCTCGATCACAGTATGCTTGTCAAGACACGATGGATTTTCTTGTACGGCTCAGCTTCACGCTTCTGGGCACTACACTCTCAGCGTACGATCCACTTTATGACTCGGGGTTGGATTCCCTGCTTGCGCTGTAGTTTTCTGCGTCGGTGTCAGAAGAATTCGCGGTCGATATACCTACTACTCTTATCTTTGACCACCCGACCCTTAGTTCTGTTTCTCACCACTTGGTTTCGGCGATGAGCGGGTGCGACGATCATGGCGTCGCATCGCTTCTTTGAAACGCGGTCCTGGAATTTGTTGGAACTCTCGTTTGCAGGGACTCTCCTCTGGTGGAAGCAGGGCTAGATTCACTAGCCATCAGTTTGGTCGCCCGGTGACTTTCAGCAGCTTTCAGCACGGAGTTTCATTCTACTCTTATAGTCGACTATCCAACTCTAGACGCCATTTCAAATTATTTGCGCAGCGCGTCCGTCTCTAGAGCCACCCTCTTTGCATGTGGATCGCGAGCATTCGAAGCAATAGTAGTGACACAGGTCGCCTTTCAAGTACCAAAGCTTCGCGCGTTCAGTGGACTGCGGGAGTTTTTACATAATCGACTCAGTACTCCATCTTGGGTGCCCATCTTGCGGTGGGAGGCGTGCCAGTCTCAACATCCACCTGGAGCAACATACGGTGCATTCTTGCTACAGGTGCTAGCCGACGGCGGCGGGGCATTTTAAATGCCGCGGAGCTTTGCTTCAACGCAAGATCCGCAGAATATACTATTGCTCGAAGGCGCAGCGCAGTGTCTCGCGGGCTCTACAAATACCGCCGTCTACGTCGCCATGTTGACGCAGCCAGTCGAAGGGGTCGTTACCTCAAATAGCTGATACTCGCCCACTCATGCAAATATTTCTTCTGGAATAGTCTCCTACACACTCGGCCTGATCGGAGCCTGCGCAACGGTGGATACGGCCTGCTCGACGCAGCTTGTAGCCATTCACCTGGCTCGGGCGGAGATTGTGCTGAGCACATCCCCGCAGGCCCTTGCGCAAGGGGTCGGACTTCTAGGGCCCGCATGGAGTTCTAGATTTGCCAGCCTTGGGATGCTTTCAGCACTGGGGCGCTGCCATAGTTTCGATCGCCAAGGGGACGGTTACGCCCGAGCTGACGGCGCTGCTTGCTTTTTGCTTGCTGAATCACAACCGACGTGCGATTCTCCAGAGTTTTCGGTGACCGCTACCGCGGTGCAAAGTGATGGTCCGAGTGCTAGCCTCTCTGCTCCTAACGGCTCTGCTCAACGGAGATTGATTATGCTCGTCCAACCGCGTCAGACTTTTCTTACACCAACAGTGCCCGTAGAGTGTCATGGAACTGGCACCCTGCTTGGCGATCCAATTGAGATCGGAGCAGTGGCTTCGGCATTGTGCTCTTCCTCTCTAGTAATTCAGGTCTGTTGTTCGTCATTCAAGTCTCAAATGGGGCATTTGGAAGCGACCGCCTCCGGAGGGGGGCTATTGTGCGCATTTATGTCGGCCTTAGAGTCCAATAACACGCCATCAAATGCCTAACTACACATTCTGAACCCGCATCTTGCCTCCCTGCTCGGAGCTAATGCGTTACATATTCCAGCGCAGGACGTTCTCGTGATCAAGGGTGCTGCGCCAGCCCCAGTGCAGTGTCGTTTAAGCTCGTTTGGCGCAAGTGGCACGATAGCTCACGCATTGCTCGGCTATGGTGATTACCTTTTCATGACAGAGCCCGCCTCTGCCGCGGAGCTGGAGTTATTTTTCCCAGATGCCGGGCCTTCTTCACACTTTCGTCTTCAAGAGGCCCCCAGTTGCATCCAGGAGACGTTTCACTTGTATCTAATAGACGTGTTGTGACCAGCCTCTCGTGAGCAAATGTGTGTTGTGCAGAGCGCCCCGCTGGTTGCATATTAGGCGTTGGCTGATCACATCATCAGCCAAAAGTTTTTGTTTCCTGGTGTGGGCTACTAGGAGATGGCTCTCGCATGCACATTTGGAGGTCAAGCAATTAGATGACTGCATCTGTTGAGTGTCACGATCGCACGTCCTTGCATAGTCTCTCGGTGATAGAAGGACCACGCCGATCATGTCATGCAGTATGCACTTGCTACTACGTCGGGTTCGTATCACGTAGCCAGTCGATCCTGCTCACGTCAAGATTTCGTGACTCACGTCAGTGGCATCAACGTGACCAGCGAAGCAACGTCACAGATCGTAGCAGCAAGTCAGCCAGACTCGCGGATGACACGGGTTGTCAAAGCGTACCTATCCGCGCCAATTGGAGATGGATACTCCACGCAACGACAACCAAGCTTGGCGTAGTCGCGCATTGCCATTGATCCATCTTTCGGACATGTCTTCAGCTTTGCCAACCTAAATCACAGTCATGGAAATGGGAAAGTAAGATGGCGTCTTCTCCAGTGAGAGGTCAAGGTCGAGTACGGTTGAACCGTGCCATCGGGGATTTATAGTGGTGACTGCTCTGCCTGAACTGCGCATGCAATCAAGCACAGACGCGCAAAGAGGGAATGATAGTTGAGATTTTAGGATGCTCCTGGAGCTCAGATATTTCTCGCATGATTTGTCTTCACAGACCCGCACTGCTTCTCTCGCGCTCCTCGCCCAGCCAAAAGGAGCATCCTGGGTTTGCTCGGCGCTCATTTGTGCTTTAGCCAATTTTACACGTCGCCAGTATGTGCCTTATTTCGTGATAGTGATCGAGTGCACGCGCACGTGGTGGAATGATATGCCGCGAAAACACCTTGGCATGTGACAGCGCGAACGCGCCATCGTGACTAAAACTCGAGACTCTGCAAAGGTCACTCTTCATCGGCAAAGTAGTCCTGAACCCCGTGTGAGCACAGGAAAAATACTCAGAGTTTTCTCATGATAGTAGAACCGCAAATTGTTCCAGTCAAGAGGATTTTCCCGCTATCGACTCGAGTACTCGAGTGAAATGTGTGTGATCTCACCGTGCGACCAGCACAGTGACCCCTATGCGCGGGTGGTGGTGAAGTAGACACACTGATCGCCATGGTCTCTGAAGCGGTCGGAACGATAGTCGACACGAACGCTCCTCTGATGGCTGCTGGCTTCGATTCACTCTCTGCGAGTGAATTTGGTGGCAACCTGGGCATTCAATTTAGTTCCGAGCTGCCTTCAACCCTTTTGTTCGACCACCCGACTATAAATGCGCTCTCTGGTTTCCTTTCGCCTGTTTCTCCTATAAGGGAATTAAGCCTGGGGCTTTGAACACCAGTCTAGTCCAAGCCAGCTATGCCAATGCCAAGGGGGCAGCCCCCCCTATCAAACTAGACAAGCATTCCGCTGGTGGTCTAATGACTAGTTTGTCAGCTCAACGGAACCGCCGCAACGCTAAGCGCCCCGCTGATGTCCGTTGGGCTCGATTCCTTGAATGCGACCGAATTGGCACGCTAAATTGGCGAGCACTTCTGCGTGCCTGTCCCGTCGACCCTCCTCTTTGATCATCCCAACATCGAAACTCTAGCGTCCTACGTAGCTGAGTCAGGCACTTTCATTGAGGTGATGCCTGAAAGCTGCGACGTTGATGACTCTAGCGTCCGCCGTCAAGTTCACTGGTAAAAATGTGACGAAAATTTGACGTTGTACATATCAGGTGGATTCTCAATGCAGTTACCTTGCCGTTCTCGCACCCGCTGCTTGGGAACAATTCTTGCGGGGGGTTTGAACGCCAAATTGATCTTACCTATCATTCGCTGGGGTGACCTCGCAATCGACCATGGCTCTGAAAAATACGGCGCTTATACTGACTCTGAATTGGCTATGGATGCGAGCTCGTTTGCCATTTCTAAAACTGAGTCAATTCAGATGGATCCTTAAATGATACTAATTCTTGAGGTAAGCTCCGCAGCAATTTGTGCTGCGCTTCGAACAAGCTGCCGCGCGCATCTATTAAACCAGCATGTTGGATTTTTTGGGGGAGCCAATGGTGGGCTTCCCGATGATGCAGGGAAGCATGGCCGGCCCAGAGATGTCTCAGTGTACTCCGCCACCTCGTATTCGCTTGCGGTCGCTTGTGGATGATTGTCTTACGTGCTTGGTCTCACTGGCCCAAGTCTTTCACTTGACACCGCCTGTTCGGCATCTCTGGTTGCGTTACATATAGGCGTTTTTTCGCTAGTCCTCGACAAGATACCATACGCTGCAGTTGGTGGAAGTCTGCTACTAGCTTCTATGGTATCTGTCGTTTTCTCTTAAGCAGGAATGCTTTCCGCACGTGGTCGATGTCACACGTTCGATGCTCGAGCAGACGGGTTCTGTCGCGGGGAAGGAGTTGCGACGTTTCTGATGGAGCCACACGAGTCTTCTGATTGAGTTGCTGGCTCAAGCGTCCAATAGGACGGTCCGAGTGCGAGTCTCACAGCGCCAAATGGTCTATCCCAAAGGCGCCTGATTGAAGCAGTCGGCAATGAGGTCGCAAATGGACTTGCTCTCGAAGCGCATGGCACGGGTACTGCGCTGGGTGACCCAATCGAGGTATGACTTCTACAAAGAGATGATGACCACATGGGTGAATTTTTAGGTCGGCTCTGCCATCTGAGCGCTGTGCAACGACTCAAAATTGATACATTGCGATTCTTTGAAGTCGAACATGGGGCACCTGGAAGCATCGGCAGCTATCGCAGGACTGGCCTCTCTCGTGCTCGTGCCTCTTGACAGGGGGGTGATTGCTGTGAATGCGCAGCTCCAGCTGTCCGTCCAACTCGAGCACGACGTCCACTCGATTCCAGCTGCGTTAGGTTGAACACGCACGTTTTCTCGATCGTATCGCGATAATTCGAGTTGCCTGTCGAGCTTTCGGCCAAAAAGCAAACATAAAAATCATCAGTGGGTCGGCTGAGCTCATTTGGGTTCAGCGGGACCATTGCGCACGGGGCGTTTGTTTCCTTGGCGTGCTCGAGGTAGGTCCTGGAGAAGCTTAGTTTGGCTTCTCTCTATCGTGCTCAGTCGCAGCCTGTTTGTAGCAAGCGGCTGCAAAATCGATGGACTGCTGGAGAGGACCCTGGCGTGCCCCAAAGCCTCCTAGTCACAGACGGCTCCCTGTTGCCCTCGACGCAAGCCTATCTCGCGGATCACATGGTTGGAGGAAGCATCCTAGTTCCGGGTGTCGGCTACATGGAGTTGGTCTTGGGGTCACTCGAGCTGCCAAAGTCACTCACTGGTGTTCGATTTCTGCTGCCGTGCATATTACCAGAGCCTGGCTTGGGCTGATGCGTCCTGTGATGCCGGAGCCAAATTTCGGGAGCGTTTGCGATTGAAAGTGCAGGGACAACAAGGAGCCAAGAAGCGTTCCAAACGCACTGTGAGGGAAGCTCTCTGTGAGGCCAAAACTCTGAGTCGAGTGCTAAAATTACAGGCTATTTTGCGCGAGCACTTCACGATCGCCATTTTACCAACACCTTGCAGTGAGTGACAGACAATTCCTGAGGAACATGACAATCTAGTGACTCTGGTGTCAATTCTCTGCACACCCGGCGATCCGGGGCGATCTCGGAGGTCCGAGGGACCTCAAATGCAATAGAATCTTCACCTTTGAAGCCAACTTTCTTGCTACGCGCAGGGTGGTGGAGCATGAGCATTTTTGTGCTGCGAAAACTGCCGCGTCCAAGTATTCAGCACGATTCATAAACGAGATTGTCACGGCCTCATGACGTACATGTGGCAGGCTATTTCTAGATTCGACCTTGGAAACCTAGCGGCTCAAGCGTCACCTATCCGCAAGATGCGCTTGCCTATTATTGGTATGGGCGTCAGGTCATACGCGCACCTCAGCTGATCAGCTCCGTTTCAGGGAGGAGCTGCATCTGGCGGTCTGTTTTTCGCGTGCAAGAGGCGCATTACGGGACTGTTGTTCCTGATCAGTTGACCTGGAGGATAGACTTGTGTGGCAACTCAGAGCACCTCCACGACGGAAAAAATGTTCGGCTCGTACACACATCAAAGGTGGAGAAGCAAGATGTCAATACCTGTTCACAATACTATCTCAGACAGTCAGCTTCACAGCTAGGCAACGTGCCTGCGAAGACTCCAGCAGATACACTCACGAGCTTGAAAGCTAGCAATCAAATCGTCTAGGGTAAATCATCGTGATCTGCAACGACAACTCGACTCAGATAAATGTCTCGCAGCAGCAAAGACCGGGTAGCGTCCTCACGTCTGATCCTTGGGGCAGTATCTTCTCATCTGCGTGTGGGGGCCCTGGTCAAGAGCGGCTGTGGAAGCCTCATATCAGAGAAACATCGCGGACGCACGTTGGCGCCTGCTTCTCTGGTTTCGCCCAGGAGCTCGAAGAGCGCGGTTTACAGGACGCCACCTGTCCATCCAATCGCACGAGAAAGAATCAAGCAAACACATGCCCCTCCGGCCTCGCTCCATGGTCTTCTCGACGAGCTCGTTGGCATCGCGACCCTGCTCACCGGCACTGCCATCTCGCCCGACGCGCCTCTCATGTCGGCTGGGCTCGACTCTATCGGGGCCACCGAGTTCTCGACGCGACTCAACGAGCGCCTCCGCACCGAGCTTCCGTCGACTCTGTTGTTCGACCACCCATCGCTATGTTCCATCGCCGATTCCTTAGAGACAAACGGCGGAAATTCGAATTCCTGAGAGGAAATCTCGAGAAACGAGATCTGCAGCGAGGTCGCGCCCCGACGGTGAATTGTCACCCAAGACGCCTCGTCGGTGGCCGAGACCATCTCGGCGTCGCTCCTCGATGTACTCGGCACGGCCATCGCCACGAACTCGCCGCTGATGGACGCCGGACTGGACTCGGTGGCGGCGACGGAGTTCGCAAACACGCTCACAGAACAATTTGCCACGGAGCTTCCGCAGACGCTCCTCTTCGATCATCCAACGATCGAGTCGGTAGCCGGGCTGATGTCGGAGGGAGACTCTATTTGCAGGGAGCAGCGAGATACGTGCGCCTTCCAGGCGACGGGACCGTATTACGTAGACACGACGCCTGCCAAAGCATCGAACGTGGCAGTGTCACTCTCGGATGTGTTCTCGTTCAACTTACCGGGGAGCATCTCCACGACGTTTGGACTCAAGCACTTGGTGACTCATGCTCTTGCGACAAACTCAGGCGTGCCTCTCTCGCGTTGGCAGAACGCGCAAGGCGCTTCGTACATGTCAGCCACGTACGGGTCCTTCGCCGTGTTCTCGTTGGACGGAGCCGCTTTTGGAATCTCGAAGATGGAAGTACAAGGCATGAATCCTCAGATGATGGCAGTTCTGGAAACAACGACCTTGACGCTCTGCGCGTGGAGCCGCCGTGCATCACTCGTAAATACCCCAGTCGGATTCTTCCTCGGCGCTGGCGGCTCCATGTCAAGTGAGGGTGCTGGGGCGGGTGCTTCTAATTCAAAAGCACCTTCGGTATACTCCGGAACCTCCGGAGCTCTCTCCGTGGCATCTGGTCGCGTGTCTTTCACGCTCGGGCTGACAGGTCCCTGCTTGACACTGGACACAGCGTGCTCGTCGTCGCTCGTCGCCGCCCATCTGGCAGCCTCGGCTATCAAGCTGGCCGAGTGTCCCCAGGCTGTGGCGACCGGCGTCGGGATGCTGACGCAGGTGGTATCGATTGCGTTCTCAGCCGCGGGCATGCTCTCCGCTTTCGGACGCTGCCGCACGTTTGATCGCCGAGGAGACGGGTACTGCCGCGGCGAAGGTTGCGGAGGTTTTTTACTGGACTCTGGAGTCTCTGCCAAAGTTGCTGTCCTTGGCACGGCGGTGCAGTAGGACGGCCCGAGCGCGAGCTTGACCGCGCCCAACGGGTCATCGCAAAGGCGACTCATTAAAACCGTGCGCGACTGCGACACAACGCAGCGGGCACTCGAAGCACACGGCACGGGAACAGCGCTGGGAGACCCGATCGAAGTAGTTTGTTCTACGGATGCGTGGTTTGAATCATTCGTCTTAGGTCGGGGCGGCTACGGGAGCGTTGTGTGTGGACTCGCAGTCGGTACAATGCGCATCTCTGAAGTCGAACATGGGTCACTTGGAGCCATCGGCGGCTGCCGCTGGGTTGGCCTCTCTCGTGCTTGTGCCCCTAAGTGTATTTTTGATCGCTACAAACGCGCAGCTCAGGCTGTCTGGTCCAATTTAAGCGCAATACCTGCAGAATTTTGACTGCACCAGGTTGAATACGCACCTGTCCTCGATCGCGTCGTCATGATTCCAGATGCCCTTGGAAGCTGCTGCTCAAGGTGAGAACTAGTGAACATCCATGGGTCGGCTGAGCTCCTTTGGGTTCAGCGGAACCATCGCGCACGGGGCATTTGCGGCTATGCGACGACGATCGTTGGACACTGCCAACTTGCCTTCTCTCTACCGTGCTCAATGACCAACTGGGTAGTGGCGACAAAGTCGATGGACTGCACAAGAGGACCCTGGCGTACCTCAAAGCTCGGAATCACTCGTCACTAACGGCTCCCTGTTGCCCTTGACGCAAGCCACCCTTTCGGATCATGTAGTTGGAGGTAAAATCATACTTCCGGGTGTCGGTCACGTCGAGCTGGTCTTGGGGTCACTCGAGTTGCCAAAGTCACTCACTGGTGTTCGATTTCTGCGGCCGTGCATATTACCAGAGCCTGGCTTGGGACGATGCATCCTGTGATGCACGAGCAAAATTTCTGGAGCGTTTGCGGTTGATAGTGTCACAACAACGTGCTAAGAAGCGTTCTAAAATCACTGCGTCGGAAGCTCGCCGGGACGCAACCAGGGAATGAGTGCCAAAAACACCGGCTGTCTTGCGCAAGCACTTGACCATCGCCATTTTACCAACTCCTCGCAGTGAACGGCAGGAAATTTTGCAGGCACACGACGATCTACCGAGTCTGCTTTCAATTCTCTGCACACCCGGCGATCCAGAGCGATCTCGGGGGTCCGAGGGACCTCAATTGTGATAGAACCTTCGCCTTTGAAGCCAACTTTCTTGCTACGCGCAGGGTGGTGGAGCATGTGCATTTTTGTGCTGCGAAAAATGCCGCGTTCGAGTATTCAGCACGATTCATAAACGAGATTGTCACGGCCTCATCAGATACGTGTGGCGGGCTCTTTCTAGATTTGACCTTGCAAACCTAGCGGTTCAAGCGCCACCTATCCGCAAAATGCGCTCGCCCATTATTCGTGTGGGCGTCAGGTCGTACGCGCACTTAGGCTGATCAGCTCCGTTTCGGGGAGGAGCTGCATCTGGTGGTCTATTTTTTGCGTGCAAGACGCGCCGCATTACGGGACTGTTGCGCCTGATCAGTTGACCTGGAGGATAGATTTGTGTGCCAACTGAGAGCATCTCCACGAGGAAACAAATGCCCGGTTCATGATGAAGACTTCAAAGGTGGAGAAGTCAGATGTTGATACTTTTTCACAATACTATTTCGGAGAGCCAGCTTCACACCTAGGCAACGTGCCTACCAAGACTCCAGCAGATACACTCACGAGCTTGAAAGCTAGCAATCAAAGCGTTCAGCGTAAAACATCGTGATCTGAAATGACGATTCGACGCAGAAGCATGTCTTGCAGCACCGCGAACCAGCCAGCGTCCTCACGTCTCATTCATGGGGCAGCATCTTTGCATCTGAGTGTGGGGGCCTTGATCAAGAGGAAGCCTCGCTGTGGAAGCCTCACATCACCGAAGCCTCGCTGACTCACGCTGGCGCCTGCTTCTCTTGTTCCACCCAGGAGCTCGAGGAACGCAGTTGACAGGACGCCATCTGTCCGTCCAATCGCACAAGAAAGAATCAAGCAAACACATACCCCTCCGGCCTCGCTTCATGGTCTTCTCGACGAGCTCGTTGGCATCGCGACCCAGCTCACCGGCACTGCCATCTCGCCCGACGCGCCGCTCATGTCGGCCGGGCTTGACTCAGTCGGAGCCACGGAGCTCTCGACGCGACTCAACGAGCGCCTCGAAGCGGAGCTACCGTCGACGCTGCTGTTCGACCACCCGTCGCTCCGTTCCATTGCTGGTTCTCTAGAGATCGACGGCGGAGATTCGAGTGCTTGAGAGGGAATTTCAGGGGACGAGATTTGTAGCGAGGTCGCGCCCCGACGGTGAATTGTCACCCAAGACGCCTCGTCGGTGGCCGAGACCATCTCGGCGTCGCTCCTCGATGTACTCGGCACAGCCATCGCCACGAACTTGCCGCTGATGGACGCCGGACTGGACTCGGTGGCGGCGACGGAGTTCGCAAACACGCTCACAGAACAATTTGCCACGGAGCTTCCGCAGACGCTCCTCTTCGATCATCCAACAATCGAGTCGGTAGCCGGGCTGATATCGGAGGGAGACTCCATTTGCAAGGAGCAGCGAGATACGTGCGCCTTCCAGGCGACAGGACCGTATTACGTCGACACGACGCCTGCCAAAGCATCGAACGTGGCAGTGTCACTCTCGGATGTGTTCTCGTTCAACTTACCGGGTGGCCTCTCCACGACGTTTGGACTCAAGCACTTGGTGACTCATGCTCTTGCGACAAACTCAGGCGTGCCTCTCTCGCGTTGGCAGAACGCGCAAGGCGCTTCGTACATGTCAGCCACGTACGGGTCCTTCGCCGTGTTCTCGTTGGACGGAGCCGCTTTTGGAATCTCGAAGATGGAAGTACAAGGCATGAATCCTCAGATGATGGCAGTTCTGGAAACAACGACCTTGACGCTCTGCGCGTGGAGCCGCCGTGCATCACTCGTAAATACCCCAGTCGGATTCTTCCTCGGCGCTGGCGGGTCCATGTCAAGTGAGGGCGTTGGGGCGGGTGCTTCTAATTCAAAAGCACCTTCGGTATACTCCGGAACCTCCGGAGCTCTCTCCGTGGCATCTGGTCGCGTGTCTTTCACGCTCGGGCTGACAGGTCCCTGCTTGACACTGGACACAGCGTGCTCGTCGTCGCTCGTCGCCGCCCATCTGGCAGCCTCGGCTATCAAGCTGGCCGAGTGTCCCCAGGCTGTGGCGACCGGCGTCGGGATGCTGACGCAGGTGGTATCGATTGCGTTCTCAGCCGCGGGCATGCTCTCGGCTTTCGGACGCTGCCACACGTTCGATCGCCGCGGAGACGGGTACTGCCGCGGCGAGGGCTGCGGAGCTTTTTTACTGGACTCTGGAGTCTCTGCCAAAGTTGCTGTCCTTGGCACGGCGGTGCAGCAAGACGGCCCGAGCGCGAGCTTGACCGCGCCCAACGGATCATCGCAAAGGAGACTTCTTGAAACTCTGCGAGACTGCGACGCAACAAACCGGGCACTCGAGGCGCACGGCACTGGGACGGCACTCGGGGACCCGATCGAAGTAGTCTCTTCTACATGTGTCAATTGCGTGGTTGGATCACTTGTCTTAGGTCGGGGCGGCTATGGGAGCGTTGTGTGTGAACTCGCAGTCGGTAGAGTGCGCATCTTTCAAGTCGAACATGGGTCACTTGGAGCCATCGGCGGCTGCCGCTGGGTTGGCCTCTCTCGTGCTCGTACCCCTTCGTACATGCTTGGTCGCTATGAATGCGCAGCTCAGACTGTCTGACGCCTCTTGGAAGCGAAGCGCCGCAACCTTCAAGGTCGTAGGTTGAACACGCACCTGTCTTCGATCGTGTCGACATCGTTTGAGATCCCCACCCAGGTGTTGCCTCAAGGCCTTAGTCGATAATCGCCGGTGGGTCGGCTGAGCTCCTTTGGCTTCAGCGGGACCATCGCGCACGGGGCGTTTGTGGCTGTGGCATGACAAGGCTCAGTCCTGAACACAGTCAGGTCACTTTCCCTCTATCGTGCCCAATGACCAATCATCTCTGGTGAGCGGCAAGCAAGTCTATGGACAACGCAACAGGACTCTGGAATCGCCCAAAGCGCGATAACGGCACCCGGGACCGGAGATCGCGACGTCAACACGTGCGCATATGCAGTCCTTTTGTCGCTGGCAGGCGGTGGACTGCGCGCATCTCTTAGTGACGTTCGCTTCAATCACTGATTCATGTCACAGGCACACAACAGCATGCTCAGTTGTCGCTTTGACTCTACGGCGCATACTTGAGCTCTTGTGACGCAGTCGTGACAGCCTCGAGTGCTTGTGTGCGGTGTGGTGCTGCAGGGTGGTTCGCAGGCTGAGATTTCCAAGATTGTTCACCAACCAGCAGTTCCGCAGACTTGGACCATTTGCAGCAAGGCGCTTGGCACACTGCAGTTTGATAACTTTGGCAAGGCTATGCTACAGTCTCCAACCTCCTGAGAGTCTTAGGCACAGTCTGCTGAATTTTTCCTATTGTCGTTGGCAACGGCTCTCGACAAGGGCGAGCTCGGCAGCCCGTAAGAAATACTCGCAATTGACATGTATTCACATCAGAGCGCTGATACACAGATAAAGCACCTGTATCGCGCGATGGTCTCAGATCGCGCCGTGCGTTTCCTCGTGGCAGACGCTGCATCCTGGGATAACACGGCGGTGGCGAGCGGGATCCATGTGCAGTGACGCCTCGCTTCCTTGGCTCCGCTAAACACTGCAGACATAACTTTTGAACTCGATCTCGTTGGTATCGCCGCTCTGTTCTACTACGCTCCAAATCTAGCCCTGAACGCCTCGAGCGCGGAAGCATTCCACGTCAGTCCCGGCAGATACACGATGGGGCGCGGGTAGGAAAACATCACTTTCGTTAGCGATGATGAAGACACCATCTCACTAGCATTGTCAAGTCTAAGTAGACTGCTTCGATAGTGTGAGCTGGCCTTTATGGAACTCGGGCGCCTCGAGGTCGGCACGGAAAGCGCGGTGGACCGCGGCAAGTCAACTAAGTCGTTCTTGATCTCATTGTTCGAGGCTGACGACCATCACAGTGTTGAAGGGCTCGACACTTTCAATGCGTGTTATGGGGGCACAAATGCATTATTCAGTACCACCAACTGGCTCCACAGCAAAGCATGGAATGGCACGTATGGTGCTGTGGTTTGTTCCGACCCGGCGGTCCACCCAGATCCTGCTAATATCTCTGGTGTTGGGGCGTCGTCCATATCCCTGGTGGTAGCGTCGCAAGCATCCTTGCTGCTCCAGCGAGCGCGCGCGACCTTCATCAAGCACTCCTGGGACTTCTATCGGCCCGTCGGATGGCCCACAAACGACGCGGTAATGGACGTGAACATCGCAACTGGTCAATACGAAGAGGCCATGCTGTGGTGCTAGGACAAGTTTAGTGAAACAGTGGGTCGACGGGATCTATTGACAACATTCGATCTAGTCGCGTACCACAACAACGCCCCTTATCATTCAAAGAGGAACCTGAGGCTCATGTGTGAAGTGATGTACGGTAAACTTTCCAAGGCTCAACACGAGAATTTGTTCCAAAAGCATGTTGCGGCTGGCATTGATATAAGTGCCCAAAATGCTACCACCTACACGTGCCCGGTCTACGCGAGTCTGCTGTCGTTCGCTCTTACAGTTGGCTCTGGCCTGGCCAATCAACACATCCTGTGCATAGCGTATGGATCTGGTTGCGCCGCTAGTATGTTCGGACTGGACGCTACTGCTGCGCCCGTGTACGCTTCTGATGTGCTCGCCGGCCTGCGTGATCGGTAGCAAACACCGATAGAGGACGCCCTACTACTCGTCAACGCCTTTGAGATGGCATACAGATGATTCGGATACGAGCCGTCACATCACGAGTGCTGATAGGATGCAGCCTTTTATCTCAAGAGCGTCAGTGCGATGGGCGTTCGCACTTATGAAGCCCATTCTGCAGTTACGTTGATCAAGGTAGACTCGCTGGATTTTTCTCGTGTCGTCCGCGTTGAGCTAGCCTAGGACTCAGTGACTCACTCCTTGGTCGAGGAGCTCATCCCGGTCCTGGATCCTGGACGAATCATAGTTTTCGCTTTTGCAACTGCTGCTCAGAGTGGAACCGGAAGCGCCATGGCAGAGAGAACCCTTCTCAATCACTTGTCGTCACGATGCAATCATCTTCCCATCGTATTCTCGAGTCGCGGGCATACGACAGGGGGGAGAATGCTGATTATTGCGGTTGCAGATCTCGCGATTGCAACTTCTAAAGCTATGTTTGGACTGTCTGTTGCGCTTCATGAACCCCATGGCATCGCCCCTGTGGCGCTCCGCAGGCGAGTCAGATCCCACCTCATTCGCCGATGGGTGCTGCTTCAAGATGACCTTGACGTGAGCACCGCACTGAGGAACGGCCTTATCGAGATCATTACCTCAATAGGTGAAGAACATCACTTTCTTTGCTCTCTGGATCAGAGTTTAGCATCAGGGTCGACCATGGGCTCGCAGATGTAGATGATTTTCCCAGGAATCTTGGTGAATGATACAGCAAGGCACAGTATCCGACAGGTGAGATTCCCTCTGGCAGGGGTTGGAGAAATGCTGGTGGACGAAGGCTCTTGCTATTGGAGGTAGACAGCTGAGTACATTTACAATCTTCAGATGGAAGGGATGCATGCCATGGTGCTGCATGCAGGTTCCGGAACTCTAAGGGCAGGCTTGGGTCATCACACTGAAGCGATTCCAACGAAGCGGCTGACGTCTGACTAGCACGCTCGATAATTGATTTTGAACATTCTTGCAAAGCTCCAAGCTCCCCTGCTTGGTATTTTGCAGAAATACAGCTCGTGCGTGTTCAATTGGATGCTTGATGCCGACTGGAGGATGTGCGGGACTCAAGCCCAGGGAGAAGTATTGTCGAGATGTCGAGCTGCTGAACACGCTCCGCACTCCGAGCTCGCGTGCGAAAGTGCAGACCTACTAAAGACGGGCGTCATTTCCTCCTTTCACAACGTTGCCTCCGGCCAATATTCTCATGCGCTCACTCTCGCATATACGGTGACCTTGGCACCTCGTACCGGGGCCCGGAACACGACCACACTACTGCGAGCTAGCAATCACATGGCATGTGCAAACATGAATATCTACGGGCAATATTGTGAAACGAGCGATGACGCCAAGCAGTGCCACCGGTCGCCCTGTAAATTCTCTACAAGATGACATGTTTTCCTTTCATTGACTGAACACAACTAGCCTCGTAATTGATGAGGCGGGGCACCATTAGTAGCGGAGGTATCGTACATAGAAAATGTGCTTTCCCTTTCGCTCGCTCGATGAATTGGTCAAACCAGCACAAAGGTCAGTCTACAATTTGCGGGTGTGTCAAAAGCAGCACCGAAAATACAAAGCAGGGGTCGGTCGAGTCGTATTTCCTTCCACTGAGACCAGAAAGAACAGGCAACTAATTGATAGTTGTGCGCAGGGGTCCAAACATAAATATGTGCGCAAAACATTCTACAGTTTTGCCCGACCGGACTCGGCATCACTAGCGTTGATACTGTACTTCGTCAGATGCAGCCAAGCTCTCATCAACACGTTATGTGCTGCGCATGTAGTCTAGAAACTGCTGGCGGTATTTGGACTTTAGCTCATGCTTTCTGCTGTTGTGAATTGCCAACGACGCTCATTCTTGTGCCCGATACTGCTTTGGATATCGAGCCACTTGTAACAGCATCGGATCTGCTGATTGTGAAGCGCAGAGGCAAGGCACACTGGCAATTTGCCCCTGCATTCGGCGCTGGCACACGCATGCGCATCGCGTTGCCCGAAGCGTCCTTCCACCTGAAGTCGTACCTCCGCCCTAGATCAGCAGCCGAAGCTGTCGTGTTCGCCACTGAATAGGGTCCGAGTGTAGAAGCAGCACGCGACTCGCGCACGGTGCGCCTTGTGGTTTCTACTGTTTCAACGTCGGTCGCTGAACTGAATGACGTAGTCCACTTCAATGCTCAAAGCGATTCCCTAATTGCAGACCTGACCCTATGCATCATTTCGCTTCGGAGAATAGGCTGCTATGCAGAGAGCTGATCCATGCTATTTTAGGGCGCCGGTGCTTATTTTTGCACCGGCGGGAACTTCGCACAAATGGCGCAGGGAAACTTGTAGCTATAGAAAGAAATATCTTCTGTCTAGAGAACTTCGCGCGTCACGTGAGACATTCGTCGACTCTCTGTGCCGAAGTTCGGTGCAGTTCATGGAAAGCTCATTGGAGGGGGTGTCGCGTTCGCGCTTGCGACAGATTGGCGCGTCTGTACCACTGGGACAACGTTCAACTATGGCAACCTGCCGCGGGGAGTGAATCCCCTTTTCATGTTCAGCTGAGCGCTGCCATTGATGGTGGGGTACCCTACCGGGTTTCAAATATATGTGGAGGATATAGTTCTCTCCAGTAATCAGGCAGATGCATATGGCATTGTAGACTAGATCACAGTCAGCAAGGCCGAAGCGTAGCACTCGACAGCTGGTCCGGCCTTGTTCAGCTTCCACTCAATTTTCTGACCCACCTCAGTACCTTCAGAGTGCGTGCTTGATGCCGCACAAGCGGCACTAGAGGTCGTGTGCTTTGCTGAGTCTTTCATGGATCGAATGGTCTCCTCTGAGAAACCTCCAGAGGTAATGAGGAAGGGAGGCGTGATCCAGCGACCATCTCCAATCTAAGCTACACAGCTAGAATTCGACGATTCCGATGTATCATGAAAAGTAAGTTTATGCGTCGCGGAGGTCCTCGGCACTCAAGTAGCTGGAGACGTGCCGTTGATGGCGGCGGGAATTGACTCTCTGGGCGCCACGGAGCTGTAGCGAGCACTGAGCGACGAGTTCAGCGCCGAGCTCCCGGCCACGCTCCTCTTCGACCATCCTTCGATTGCCGGAATCGCAACTTTGGTGATCCAAGCATTTCATGTGCCATCGCCGCACGTAGGTGAACGTGCTTGTCACTAGGTGGATGCGCACCAAGTGCAAGCAACGGTTGCCACTTGCGTCGCGGAGGTGCTTGGCACTCAAGTAGCTGGAGACGTGCCGTTGATGGCGGCGGGAATTGACTCTCTGGGCGCCACGGAGCTGTAGCGAGCACTGAGCGACGAGTTCAGCGCCGAGCTCCCGGCCACGCTCCTCTTCGACCATCCTTCGATTGCCGGAATCGCAACTTTGGTGATCCAAGCATTTCATGTGCCATCGCCGCACGTAGGTGAACGTGCTTGTCACTAGGTGGATGCGCACCAAGTGCAAGCAACGGTTGCCACTTGCGTCGCGGAGGTGCTTGGCACTCGAGTAGCTGGAGACGCGGCGTTGATGGCCGCGGGAATTGACTCTCTGGGTGCCACGGAGCTGTAGCGAGCCTTGAGTGGTGAGTTCAGCGCCGAGCTCCCGGCCACGCTCCTTTTCGACTATCCTTCGATTGAGGGTATTACTTCAGTTATTACCGAGGAGAGGCCTCTGTTGGTTTCAATATTACACACTGAGGTGTACTCTGGGGCTTAAAGGACAAGACTGAGCCTCAAGTAAGATGCCTCGCCGCCCCTACTGATATCAGAAGCATCAGATGGGACGGCAACCTTGACCTACAATCGGCCCAATACTCAAAATGCCTGGGACGGTGAAATGATCGATGCCTTATCGCGTTCTCTCGAACTCTTGAGCAATAGTACGAGCACACAACAAGTGGTGGTTACTGGAACTGGTCGCTATTTTTGTTCGGGGGCCGCTTTCACTGAGATCGTCGCAGTGTAATCCACCGACTCAGACCATTCGAATCCGCTCTCGGTATTCCTTTGTTTTCCAAAGCCAATTGTTGCAGCTGTAAACGGACCTGCATTTGGTGCGGGCGTAACACAAGCTACTCTTTGCGATGCCATCGTTTCTTCAGACGAAGCCACATTTTCCCTGCCCTTTAACTGATGGAAGGTATCGCCAGAAGGATGCTCATCAATCCACCTTGTTCGCATTGTTGGGGCTGTGGCGTCCCAAATGATTGTAGACATGTGGATCCCTTCTTCTCTAGACCTACTTGCGGTTGGACTGGTCACGTGATCTGCGCGCACTAAAACGCTCGTAGAAACCGCATGTCAGCTTCAAATTGCAAGATGAGGGCTCCCGGTCATTGGAAGTGCCTCGGAGGCAACTCATGAATACTCCAAGGCGGATGAGATAGAAAGTGCTGCTCTGAGTGATGCGGTTTCCTCTACACCTTTCTTCCTCGGATAAATTGAGTTTGCTATGCGCTAGTGATAGCCGATAGTTGAGACCACTTTTCGCATCAAGTTTTTGAATTCAGCCTTGTCCACCATAGTCTAGTTGATTCGCGATGAAGATGATAGCAGCGATGGAACGTCGCGTGCGATTGTGGGTGCGATCGGCGGGATGCAGTAGCGGCGGCCAGAAGAGACTAAACCTCCTCTCGCAGAACACCGGGCCCCTCCATTTTCGCGAGAGGCCGGACGAGGACTCTGATTCTAATTCCATCTGCCGGGCGCAGCTGTGAGCTCGGCCGATTTGAGATGCCTCGTATCCAATTCTCTGGTAACTTCTACCTGTGTTCCGTTGCATCGGTGGGACAGTGCGTCGGAGCCACCTGCGGCAGCGTATGGGTCTTTTCTGTAGATGCCACTTGTACTAGACGATGGACGCAGTTTCGGAATAAATCGACTTGAGGCCGGCAGAACTGATCCGCAATACTTTCAGCTACTTCAATTGGCAGGCCAACATCTGGAACCGGGGTCTTCTCACAGAGGGTTCGGAGTTTACGTGGGAATGCTTTCTTCCCCGATTGAGGTTGTTTCTACTTCCGTTCAAACGGGCCATTGATCGCAGGTCAGCTCCGCGGCTGGTCGAATCTCCTTCACGTTTGGGCTCACGGGCGCAGCTGTGACAATCGACACTGCCTGCTCTTCGTAGCTCGTAGCGACTCATATTGGTCTGATGGGGATGGAGTGAAACGATTGCACGCAGGCCTTATCTCTGGGTGTCGGTTTACTCGGGCCAATTTGGAATGGTGGATTTGCAGCGCAGGGCATGACTTCGACTCGCGGTCGCTGCCACACCTTTGATTCTCGCGCCGACGGATACGCTCGCGGAGAAGGCTGCTCACTGCTACTCTTGCATACTGAGGCCGACACGGTGTCTTGTCTTCTTTCCGCGGCAGTCTAAAACGACGGGCCAAGCGCCAGCATGACAGCCCCTAATGGATCCGCGTAGTGACGCCTGATTGATGCGGTACGGAAATCTGTTGATTGTGCACGTGAGTTTCGCGGGGTTGCCTTTGAGGCCCATGGGACGGGAACTGCGCTTGGAGATCCCGTCGAGGTTGGAGCAGTCATTGGTGCGCTTTGTACGTTCGGAGCAGAAATTGTGTGCACGTCGCTCAAGGCAAACATGGGGCATCTCGAGGCTGCTGCGGGTGGAGCGGGAGCGGTCTCATAATTATCTTTTACTCTGTCAATCGGAAGTGTTGCTGCGAACTCTCAGCTGCAAAAGCTGAACCCGCATCTGGGGACAATGGTTTGAGCTGTGCCCTACTCGATTCCGGTTCGGGATTTTGTACCACTAGGGGAAGGCGTGCTCCAAGGCCGACTCAGTTCTTTCGGGGCGACTGGGACGATCGTACACGGGGCCTTTGCGGCTATGGTCTAGTCACACTTGTCCAAGTACACTGCCAAATTGCCTTCCCTCTATCGTGCTCAGCTGCCAGCCGTCTACCTGTTACAGAATGGTGGCCGCGCACATGAGCGGTAATATGCATTCCTGCCGTCCCAGGACCTCAAGACTCAGCCAATCGCCCCAACAGATATCTACTAAGAAGCTAAAGAACACACTCACGCATGCCGATGAGCACGGTTTGCAAGAACTCAATATGAACCACGTGGAATATTCAATTGGTATCGCGTACCGCAGCTCACAGCATTTGAATGTAAATCTCAGTCTCCAGCTTCTGCCGGTAGTGGGGGGAGGGTGTGCGACTTGCATTCATTATCTATAATGCTCACGATGTGGACTTAATGACCGGAAATGACTTATTCGCGCATGCCTGCTGTCCGGCACGTAATATTGAGTTCCCAGTATGCACTTCGGCTCCTGTTCCTCCACGGCATGGATACGTACGCGGAATTTTAAGTGAGTTCGATGAACCATCAGGGATGGCTTTCAAGCCAAATGATCCAGTGGACGACACTGAGCGCTCCTAATCAGGGCGCTGATTTTTCATCTGGAGCCGGTGGGGCGTTCTTGCGCCAGCGGTTTGGCTACGAGCCGCGCAAGTCGCGGTCGTGGCGCCTAGTCACGCAGTATTCCCTGACGAGCGCAAGCCAAGCCGAGATGTTTGCGCGAATCCGCAGAGCGACAGATCTCAGTAACGACAGCTTCGGGCTGCAGGAGGATTGGATGGCATCTGTTGAGTAGATAACACGAGCCGTGAGGGAACAGGCACCAGTCCACGGTTTGGCAGGTATCAGTGAGGGCGGCACCGCAGCGTCGATTCTCGTCAATCAAAATGCTAATGCTTTTGGGTCAGGATTCTAGGGGTGACTGCTGATCAGCATCTGCGCGCTGACGTCGCCCGCTCATAGTCACCTGTACGAGGACGGAGCAGGCAACACGCCGTCCCTGCACTTGGTCGGCGATTGCGACACCAACGATATTAAGCACATGGTCGGACGGACTGCGGGGCTCTTTGGGTCTAGCTCTGGGATTTGCGTGTTCCGCGGAGGGCACAAATTGCCCAACATGAGCCCGCGGTTGGTCGATGCGTTGGAAGCACTCCACTTCATTACAATCGGCAGGCCCGTCGCTCATGCGAGTGACCCTGTTCGATTGAAACACAAATGCTTCTACTGGAAGTACGATCATGAGTATATTCCTGGTCAGGCACTCAAGGATGCCAGGTCCAGTGAAACTTGTTCCCATAACATGGATGCTCATTCGCGCACTACGCATGCGTATTGGCAAGACGGGCACATTCTACGTTTGGAGTGTGGGCGCCTATAGACAATCACTCTTCTCCTGGCAAGTATGCTTCACTCCGCCGCGTGCTACGCTCTCGTTCTGTCCATGAAGGATGATAGCGCGCGGAATTCGACGATGCGGTAACCCGGTTGCAATCGCGTCCCGGTCTGGAAAGATACAGCACGACTCCAATCCTCGCAATCCCGGGCAAAGGGTGAATGGATCTTGCTCAAGTCGCGGACTGGTGCGTCGGTACGAGAGGACGTCAGCGAGGAGAGTGTGTAATGACTGATCCGTGGAACGAGAGTGCTGTTGCCTTGGACAGAAGGGACGCTCTCAATCGATTAAGAAGCTACACGTTGACCCTATAGGGCATCAAGGTCGTTGGTATTTGAAACACGCTAGCTTCGATGCGCAAATAGCATGCGTTGCTCGCGCCTCAAGAAGGGGGCGATGTAAGATGGGCAGGGGTCGTTACGTCGACCTCACGTCTCATTGTGCAGCGTGGTAGCACCGGTCGGCCTTTGTGATGTGCGAAATCGACCGAGGCGTTCACGTCGCCGTCGATGCCGAGACTCAAAGAATCTTCGTGCTGTTGGAGTTCGGACCGGGCGGTTTTGATTCGATCTTTCGTCTAATGCAGCCAGCTCATGTAGCAGATGATGCGGTATTCAGCTGGTGTCGTTGTCGAACTGAGTATGAGCAGCCCAGGAGAGCTTTCCCCGCCTCTCATTGCAGCCCCGATGATTCTAGTAGCTGAAAAAGCGTCCTATGCGTGATCTGCGCAAATTGTTTGAGACTACACACTCGTCGTAAATCGGAGCCGGAAATTCTCTTTAGTTGGCCAACTGAATGACTTGACTCTCTGAACTGCAGTCTCGTGTTTCAAGTCGCTAGCAAAAACCCGGGCTAGTATCGGGCCCACCGTCCAGCTCTAGGTTTTTATGAGTGCCAGTCGACAGATATAACACTCAAGTGTCCACCTTGCTCTTGTCGCCGGCCGTGGCGCAGTTCACGTGTGCTTGACTTGATTTGAGTCAGCGGAGGTAAAGGCCCTGACTGCGATTCTGGGCGCGGCCCCCAAAAGCGGAATGCGCATTGACCTACTCGCATCTTTTTTAAATGAGGACAATTGCATCCGCGGCACTTGGCTACTTGGCAATGAAAAGGTGGTTGGTAAAACAATGGTCGCTTCAGGGCTCTTGACGTTCGAAACAATCGCATCTCTCCGAGGCATTTCGATTAGGACGGTCTCCGATGTCGAGGCGCTATACACATCCGTTGAATCTTTGACGCGAGCCGACAGTCTGGAAGCCGCTTGAATGAGGCTCATCGACGAGATCGCGCAAGAGAACCAACAAAGAGCGATAGAGGTGACGAATCGGGATGTGCTCCTGCTACCGGCCGCACAAGTGCGCCGTTTGTTGAGCAGTGCAGCTAAATCCAGGTTCGGCGGTATGAAACTAGCACCACAACGTAGCGCTAAGGTCGTCACCCTCGCGTGGAATGACACCAATACAGCGTCGCTCGAGCTCGACGACCCCTCCACGTTCAATGCCATGACCTCAAGCTTGCTGGAGAATCTCGGACAATGTCTGACAGCAGCGTTTGCGGCCACAAAGATTCGAGCTCTGGTACTGCAGGCCACTGGCCCTCATTTTTGCACCGGAGGTCGCTACGACAAAACTGCATCGTCACTCCCGCCTTGGTGGATCAAAGCGCAGGGCGTATACGGCAGTGGGTGTCTCCTCGGCCGAATACGGAGCGCAACAATATTTTCAACCTCCGTGCTGCAGGGATCGTCCATCGGTGGCGGGTTGCTGTTGGGCCTGGCCACGGACCACCGTATCGCCACTCACTCTGCGATTTTCCGGCTAGGCGTCGCGCCGTAAGGCCTCAGTCCAGTAGTGAAGGCAACAGCTGTACTGCCGAAACTCGTCGGATACAGTCTCGCAACGCGAATGTACGTGGAGGACTTGTCCTTGGGTGCCCACATCGCCATGGCATCCGGCATCGTGGATGATGTGCTGTCTGATCGTAGGACGGCGAAGGCGTACGTCTCCTGACGTACCCGTAACGGACGATGCCTGCATTCAGGTGGTAATCTGACCAATGGAATGCATTTGATTCAGGAGACACTGCTGAACGCGGAAACCAGTGTTGCTGCCAGTGGAACGTTGAGAGTCGCGCCTGTTGCGGCCCGCGAGACCGTGAGGCATGCTTCACCATCTCAGGCGCCTGCCACGACGTCGGCTCCACTAGCAACGCCGGATGCCACTCGAGGCTCTTCGACGGAGCTGACCGATGTCATCGTGAGGTCTCTGATAGCATTGAGCGTGGGCACTGAGATATCAGATGACGTGCCGCTCATGGAAGCCGGAATCGACTCCCTTTCTGCATCAGAAGTAGTGTAGTCGATAGGCAAGGAGTTTGAGATAGAACTACCCGCGACGCTACTATTCGATCACCCAAGTATAGCGTCTATCTCCTAGCATGTTGGTCGAGCTCCACGTGTGGACGTGAACAGGCTGGAACACGAGGCTGCGCCGTCGCCTGTCTTGACGGAAGCAATTTAAACCAGACTTGCGCACAGATCCACAATACTGCAGAGTGATATTCGACCAAGAATCCACTCGATCGTGAAATAGAACGTCGGGCGGGACATTGGGAAAGACGCGCCTCTGATGGAAGCGGGCATCGATTCGCTTGCTGCCTCAGAACTTGTGCAATAGCTTTCGTCTGAGTTTGATCTGGAAGTGTCGGCTACGCTGCTCTTCGACCACCCAAGCGTGGGATCTATTTCTTCTTACGTGGCATCGAATCTTTAGGACGTCGATGCCTCCGCTGCGACTCACTCTTCAACTTGTGCGGTGAAAGTCGCTGAAGCTCGAGAATAAATGCAAGACGAGGGACTGCCCATGCTGGTTTCTTAGCCTACCAATGGCGTCGCTAGAATCACGTACAATCGACCGAAAAAGAATAACGCCTTTGATGCTGCAGTCTCGAATGCTCTCGTGACTGTTCTTGCGACGCTGAACGAGGATCGACGCACGCTCGCGATCGTCATCACAGGACGTGGCACCTACTTCTGCACGGCCGCGAAGTTCGACGAGATGCTCCACCCAACGCATCCAATGGAACTTCACGCAGACCTGACAATGGGAACCTTGACCTTGTTCGACTCGTTCATCACATTCAGCAAACCAATCGTAGCAGCCGCGAACGGCCCGGCGTTTGGCGGCGGCGTGACCCAGGCCACTCTCTGCGACAACGTGGTCTCCTCGCGACACGCTACCTACTCGCTACCGTTTTCTCACTGGCGGGTTTCCCCTGAAGGTTGTTCATCTGCGCACACGGCCCGCGTCGTTGGTGCTGGCAAAGCGCGGAGGATGCTCGCGGGCGGATGGATCCCCAACGCAGATGAAGCGAAACTCATTGGCCTGGTTGCTCAAGTTTCGGACGCTTCGATTCTTCTCGAATTGGCGGATAAAAGGATTCAAAACCTCATGTCTGAACATCGCAGCCGCGCTTTTTAGAGCACGGTGGTCGAATCCGAGGTGTGCTAGGAATACAGCATCATAAACGTACAGGAAAGTGTCGCTCTCGCGGATTCGTGCCTCTCACTGCACTTTCTGACTATTCAGTCTCAACTTCCATCTTCTTTGGTTGATTACCCCCTGCTTTGTCTTTCGATGGCTATGACTCTCCCACTTGGGTCCATGCAGTTGATCAAGTCGCAAGGAGACGATACCAATCATGACGAGTGGCGCTAGCAGGTTGACGCGGCAATAGTGCGAGCTTATGATCCGCGCTCAAATACGATATAGGAATCGGAGGAGTAAATCACGCATATCGCGCGTATTGACCAGGAAATTTGGCTGTCAAACCTCAAAATAATTTTGCCGAGCAGTATTAAGCGACCTGATCAGCTGTAGAACTTTGTTGTGAGAGGTCTGACGGCAACCACACCGCCAACACGATGGAGCGTACCGAGCGCGCTTGCAGTTTCTGCGACATATGGTAATTTTGTACTCGGATAGCTTAGTCTAGAGCGTGCTGCTTGGGGAATGTCACATTCAGAAGTCTCCGCCGTAGACCCGCAGCAGCTCATCGTCTTGGAAATGAGCTACGTCGTGTTTGCGGATGACGCATCAGGTGCCTGCAGGGCACATCTCATCAACTTAAACATAGGGGTTTATCTTGGCATTTCTGGGTCGCTTGCAACGGCAGCTGGGGATATGGGTACTCAGACATAAACGAATACAATAAGCGTGTATGCTGGCACGTCAACTTCCATGGCCGTCGCCTCGGGTCGCATCTCGTATACGCTCGGGCTGACAGGTCCGTGCTTCCCTGTGGATACGGCATGTTCGGCATCTCTCGTCGCGCTCCACGTCGCTAGCAGCGCTCTGTAGCTGGCGGAGTGCCCACGTGCTTGTGTGTGTGGAGAAGGACTGCTGGAAGCGATAATATTCGCGGCATTTAGCGCGGCGGGCATGCTCTCCGCTTTTGGACGCTGCCACACGTTCGATCGCCGCGGAGACGGGTACTGCCGCGGCGAGGGCTGCGGAGTTTTTTTACTGGACTCTGGAGTCTCTACCAAGGTTGCTGTCCTTGGCACGGCGGTGCAGTAGGACGGCCCGAGCGCGAGTTTGACCGCGCCCAACGGATCATCGCAGAGGCGATTGGTTTCGACCGTGCGGGACAGCGATACTGAAAACCGGGCTCTCGAAGCTCACGGCACGGGAACGGCGCTCGGAGATCCGATCGAAGTAGTCTACAGGTGTCAAACGCGTGGCCGAGCCATTCGTCTTAGGTCGGAGCGGCTATGGGAGCCTTGTGTATGAGCTCACAGTCGGTACAGTGCGCATCTTTGAAGTCAAACATGGGTCACCTGGAGCCATCGGCGGCTGCCGCGGGATTGGCCGCTCTCGTGCTTGTACCGCTCGGTATATGCTTGATCGCTATGAATGCGCAGCTCAGACTGTCTGACGCCCCTTGGGAAGCGAAGCGCCCCAACCTTGAAGCTCGTAGGCTGAACACGCACCTGTCTTCGATCGTGTCGACATGATTTGAGATGCCCACCGAGGTGTTGGCTGAAGGCCTCCGTGGATAACCACCGATGGGTAGGCTGAGCTCTTTCGGCTTCAGCGGGACCATCGCGCACGGGGCGTTTGTTTCTTTGGCGTGCTCGAGGTAGGTCCTGGAGAAGTTTGGTTTGGCTTCTCTCTATCGTGCTCAGTCGCAGCCTGTTTGTAGCAAGCGGCTGCAAAATCGATGGACTGCTGGAGAGGACCCTGGCGTGCCCCAAAGCTTCCTAGTCACGAACGGCTCCCTGTTGCCCTCGACGCAAGCCGATCTCGCGGATCACATAGTTGGAGGAAGCATCTTACTTCCGGGTGTCGGCTACATCGAGTTAGCCTTGGGGTCTCATGAGTCGAAAAGGACACTTGTCGGAGTGTAATTTCTACGGCCATGCATACTACCAAAGCCTGGCCTAGGCTGATGCATCTTGAGATGTACGAGCCAAACCTCTGGGGCGTTTGCGATTGATAGCGTGACAACAGAGGGACAACCAACATTTTCGAATCACTGCATAGGAAACTTTTCGGGAGCAACCAATGACGAGAATGCACGAAAAGCCGGCTGTCCTGCACCGCTGACTTGGAGGATGAAGAGCAGTTTTACAAATCTCTCGCGTTGAGTGGCAGGCAGTTGTTGAGGAGGTTGATAACCGACCTGCACTGATGTCACATAAATCGACAGTCCCCAAAAGAGGTCGGAGATCCACACAGCCTCGAATGCGACAGCGTGATCGCCTTGGAAGCCATTAGTGTTGCTAAACGCAGCGCGGCTGAGCATGCGCGCTTCCGTGATACGTCAAGCTTGCAGTCGCAATTCACAGCCGAGGTAGACAGGTTGTTCGTAGATACGACCTGGCAATCTGAGTGCCACCTGTCCGCAAAGTAAGCCTGTCCATGATTTAGATAGGTGCCAGACCACCGGTGCACCTCTAGCAATCCAATTTATTTTGGGGAGGAGCTGCACCAGGCTCTCTGTATTTTGCGTGCAGGAGCTTCAATATAGGACCGTTGCGTCTGATCAAATCCCATCAAGGTCAAAATTATGTGCGGGCGCAGGGCTGCAAGATAGGATCAATGTTGAGCTCATGAATTTATCAAAAGCAAACAACTTAGATATCAATACGTTTTAAGAATAGTGTTTTCGAGCATTGGCTTCAACCCGGGCACTCGTTCAAACCAAAGCAGCTGCCTCAACAAGCTCGGCAAAAGGGACTCTGACCGCCCAGAGGGCCGCGCTTTGGACACGATTCCGAAATAAATCATTCAGCCCAAGCTAGCCAACCTGTTCATTTCTGAGTTTGGGAGCCCTGATCAAGAGTAATTACGGACGTCTCATCTCGCAGGAGAGTCGCCGACTTGCGTTGGCCACGGCTTCTTTGGCTAGCCCCAGCCATGCGCTTTCCAGGGCGAGATCTGTCTGTCCCTCAGCACAACAAGGAACCACTGTCTGTCCCTCAGCACAACAAGGAACCACGCGGGCACATAGCCTCACCTCTTTTGATGGGCTCCATAATGAGCTCGCTGGCATCGCAACTCAGCTTACTGGCACCGCCGTCTCGCTCGACGCGCCTCTCATGTCGGCTGGGCTCGACTCCATCGGAGCCACGGAGCTCTCGACGCGTCTCAACGAGCGCCTCGAAACGGAGCTACCGTCGACGCTGCTGTTCGACCACCCATCGCTGCGATCCATCGCTGGTTCCTTGACGATCAGTTGCGGAAATTCTAGTCCACGAGAAAATTCCTGAAGCGTGATATGTCGAGAAGTCGCGTCCAATCCGCAAACGATCTCCCAAAGCACTTCTTCTGTGGCTACAACCATCTCTGCATGGCTCATCGATGTCCTCGGCACAGCCATCGCCACGAACTCGCCACTGATGGCTGGCGGTCTGGACTCGGTCGCGGCGACGGAGTTTGCGAATACGCTAACGGAATGATTCACGATTGAATTGCCGTAGACGCTCCTTTTCGACCACCCGACGATCGAGTCAGTAGCCGGGCTCATCTCAGAGACAGCCATCGATGGAGAGGGAGTATAGCTTGTCACCGACGCCTCCCAGACAACGATGTGGCACCAGGCTGAAGCAGCACTCCCAGAATGACCGAGTGTCGCAGTGTCTCTCTCAGGCTCATTCTCATTCATTCTGCCAGGCTTTACTTCCACGAATACCGGACTAGAGCACCTCGTAACCCTTGGTTTAGCGACCAACTCTGGTGTGCCCGTCACGCGCTGGTAGAGCAACGCCTCTTATGTATCAGCAGCGTACGGGGCTTTCACCATTTTTTCGTCAGATGCAGCTGCCTTTGGAATCTCGAGGATGGAATCGCAAGGCATGAATCCTCAGATGCTGGTCGTTCTCGAAACAACGACTGCCACGCTTTGTGCGTTGAGCTGCCGCGCATCGCTAGCAAATACGCCAGTTGGGTTCTTCCTCGGCGTTGGCGGCGCTTTCTCTAGTGAGGGTGCTAGCAAGGGCGCTGCTAAGACACAAGCACCTTCGGTATATTCGGGAACCTCCGGAGCCCTCTCCGTGGCGTCTGGTCGGGTGTCTTTCACGCTCGGGCTCTCGGGTCCATGCCTGACACTGGACACGGCATGCTCGTCGGCGCTTGTCGCCACCCATCTGGGGGCCTCGGCTATCAAGCTGGCCGAGTGTCCGCAGGCTGCAATAACGGGCGTCGGCATGTTGACGCAGGCGGTGTCGATCGCTTTCTCGGCGGCAGGCATGCTCTCCGCTTTTGGACGGTGCCACACGTTTGATCGCCGCGGAGACGGATACTGTCGCGGCGAAGGTTGCGCAGCTTTTTTACTGGACTGTGGTGCCTCTACCAAAGTTGCTGTCCTTGGCACGGCGGTGCAGTAGGACGGCCCGAGCGCGAGCTTGACCGCGCCCAACGGATCATCGCAGAGACGATTGGTTTCGACCGTGCGGGACAGCGATACTGAAAACCGGGCTCTCGAAGCTCACGGCACGGGCACGGCGCTCGGAGATCCGATCGAAGTAGTCTACAGGTGTCAAACGCGTGGCCGAGCCATTCGTCTTAGGTCGGGGCAGCTATGGGAGCCTTGTGTGTGAACTCGCAGTCGGTATAATGCACATCTCTGAAATCGAATATGGGTCACCTTGAGCCATCGGCGGCTGCCGCGGGACTGGCCTCCCTCGTGCTTGTACCGCTCGGTATACGCTTGATCGCTATGAATGCGCAGCTCAGGCTGTCTGACGCCCCTTGGAAGCGAAGCGCCCCAACCTTGAAGCTCGTAGGCTGAACACGCACCTGTCTTCGATCGTGTCGTCATGATTCCAGATGCCCTTGGAAGCTGCTGCTCAAGGTGAGAACCAGCGAACATCCATGGGTCGGCTGAGCTCCTTTGGGTTCAGCGGAACCATCGCGCACGGGGCTTTTGCGGCTGTGGTGTGACGACGATCGTTGGACACTGCCAAATTGCCCTCCCTCTATCGTTCGGGAAGAAAGCAACCAGCAAAGGCATGCACATGCACAGCCCATTCAAAGGAACATGCATCATAGATTATTGACTCGCCCCTACTACCCTTGCTGACGTCACGGGTTGCTACTATTCACGGCAAAGTGTCACTTAGTTCTTTACACCTGCAAAGCGCTTCAGCTATTTTGACTAACGGCGTTTTTTCCGAAACCTGCGTCAGCATTTGGGGATCAATGGATGATCGAGGTATTATGCTTGACTCAAGGGGAACCGCCCCTGTATGTGTGGCTGCTAGACAATAAATATACATGCCCCGACACTCATTTCTTTGAGCATGATCCGCTTAAAGTACGCAGTTCACTTGGGTTCGGTGCCCGCAAAATATTGAATTATTCGCCTTTACTTTTCACATTCGCTGACAGCCGTATGTTTGAACCTTTCATGAACGGGAAATCAATCGTGTTACTATACTTCCCGACTTCGGCCTCCGGTGCCTTCGAGAGGCGAAGAAAATATCAGTAATTTTCTTGGCTCCAGACAGCTTGCGCCGTCGCCACACCCCGGACTGTACCATTCTTGACACAAGGCAGTTGCAGCCCATGGTTTGAAAAATCGTCAACTCGGCTGGCGAGTCTTTTAAATAGATGGAGCTTTCTGCTGCCCGTGCGCGGACATCCAGAATTCAGGTAGTCACCAGTCCCGACTAAATCCATGCCTCCGTCAAGGACGCCTTGTCTGACGCGGTCGCAGCTGAGAGCAGTATCGAAAGCGACACCACGCTGGCCGACCTTGGCATCGATTCTTTGTCAGTTGTTGAATTCCGGAACAAGCTATCACAAACCACCGGAGTTGCGCTATCAAACGAGTTGATCTTGAGCAATCCTTCGATGGGGACAATCGAAGATGCACTGCTCGAGGAGCTGCGAACTAAAAAGTCACTGTCCGAATTAATTTCTGGACCAAGGGATGAATCTCCACTCGACCTGTTCACGAATCCTGATGCTATCTCTAATTGTCGTCGGTGCAATCGTACGCACATCTTTGTGCTCTCCACCCCCCGAGCAGGATCATCACTTCTTCAACTGTGCCTGCATGCGCATTCTCTGATTTTTGCGCCACAAGAACTCTATCTCCTCCCGTTTGAATCGATGAATTAACGATAAGCAGCACTCCCCGATGCAATGGGGCTTTCCAGCGGTCTCACCCAGGCCATAGTTGAGCTAAAAGCGGTGAACAGCGCGCGCGTGAAAATGATTGTGGCAATACAGGCCATGTCTTTCATCAGCATCTTGGACCTGTCTCGAAAACTTTAGGATTGGGCCTCCCCTAGGCTGTTCATCGACAAGACGCCGCCGTACTCGAGCGATGTTCGGGTGTTATGACAAGCTGAGTCCTGATTTTAGCGAGCAAAATATCTCTTCATATCACGCCACCCCGTGCCCTGCATTACCTCCTGGATCGATCTCATGAAGAAGAATCTAGCACTTCAAAACAAAGTGGCAGCCGTCGAATGGAGTGCCATAGAGTTCGATTGGGTTGCGCACAACAAAAACATTAGGCAGGTCTGTGCCGGGTTGCCTGGCAATTGCCGTGCGCGAGTGTGATACGAGGACCTTGTTCGCTCACCCATCCATGTCCTCAGCGCCGTAGCTGAATTCTTAGGGCTTAAATTTGAGCTTCAAATGGCGAATCCCTACAACACAAACGCTGTAAAATCGTTTTCGATCCACGGTGGTGTGGCGGCGACGGACCCGAAGCTGCTCAAGAACTCGTCCATTGACCCCAGGTCTCACCAGCCGTGTCTACTCCCGAATTTTCCCGGAGCAAGACAGAGACATGCGCAGCTTGGCCGACAAGTGGAAATAAAAACACGGCAATTGTCATCTTTCCCCGTCAGCCAGACAACTAGGTTGGGAATTGGGATACGGAACAAAATCATAACCCGCTCATAAGTTCCGTGTCATCAAGCGGGTCTCTGACTCATTTCTTGGCACGTTGAGGTGTGGTACGCGACAGACAGCCGCGATCATTGTCATGTACGATGGCCTTGGCTTTTAGTATGGAGTAAGTTTGCTACCTTTGCTATCAACCGAACAGAAACTGATCGCCTTGCAAGCCCCCGAGTTTATGTCTGAGCAGCAAACCCTTGTCGATGTTCATTCTTGAGGCAGGCACCACACTGCGGTGCTCTAGCGAGAGCTCTCTGGAGGCAGCGCCTGCCTCGTGGGATATTCGTTTGGCGGACTGCTCGCTACTTGCATCAGAGAGTGCCTAATACTAACACAGCCTGTGAGCTTGTTGTTGATAGACCCCATGCCATGCGATTCCAAGTGAGCAGATTCAACCGCAGTTTCTTCCGCGCTCGAGCAAACGGCAGTTTTGTACGGCTTCCTCTTATTCAAACTATGAATAATACCGTAGTAGCGCGCGTTTCTCTAAGCGGCCGTCAAAGTCGGCGACATTGTGACGCCTAATGACCTTTTCCAGCAATTGCAGAAAGCGACCGCTAATACTGAATATGTAGAAGTGGGTCGGATTGCAAACTTTATGCTAAACTTGCAAACAAGTTTCGATTGGAACGCTAGTCGGGCCTTTGCCGGGAAGCTGGTCGGAACAGCTGGTGGGTCAGAGCATTTTATTGGTCGAGGCCGTCGTCAAGGCGATCATCCCGATGGAGCATATGGATGGTCACGGAACGTGGGGCTTGTGCTGCAACTTGCCAAATTAACCGGGGGGCATTTTGACGCATTCAATTCCCAATCGAATTCCACACTTCTGTTCCGCGCCACAACTCCGAAAGGGACCTAGAGCTTCGAAAAAAACGCAGAGGCCTGGTTCTCGGCCAGTGCGCGACGCCCATACTAGGGAGATGCATGGATTTTCGGGGAAATTACTGGCATGAGTAGTAGGAAGTTAGGATAGTTTATTAGCTTCCTAACGTCGCTATGACGTCAGTCAAACTACTATCCAGCAGGTGCACTGTCCGGCGACTGTGCTACCTCGCTGAGCCTGGTGCTCTCTGGCACGTCGCTGTGACGCTAACCAGACAGACACCACAGACACAGAAGAGCGCTATGCTATGGGTTGGCAATCTTTATTCGCTAAGGACGCGTTAGTCTATGTCTAGAGCGGCTTAGACGATGGTGGGTCGTTTAGCGAGCTGACTTGAGCTGAGGGGTTCCGGGGAGGACAACTTAACCCGCGTTGATCCTAGCCCTCAGAAACCGACGCGTTTGGACGCGTGGAACGGGCCCTCGAATTAAGTGCGAACATTTTTCTAAGAAATTTGCGCATTCGTCCCCGCCAGCACTCTGGAATTTTCCACCGCGCGTCGCCATCGGTAAGATTTTGCTTACTTGGACCACCAACCGCTTCCGACGGCGGGCGCCGTAAGCTCACCGCGGCCGGTGAATTAAGTGTGAGGACCCCGGCTCGTAGCAAGCAAACGCGTTTGGGTTAATTTATTGAAGTAGTAATCGAAAACCTCATCGAAATCGTCCAAAACTGCATCGTTTCGACCGTCGGATAACGCTGCGATGATGTGATGCGCCGGCGCCGCGCCGTTTTGCGCTAGGTGGTGCACGAAAAGCGCGCGTGCTGCGCCGGACAGCGACGCCGGGGTTCGAGAGCGCAAAACATCCTGCTGGCGGCCTTCCGCGGCGAGACTGTCGATCACTGCGACTGCGGGGCGCGCCCCCACTCGATTTTTGCATCCCCGGGTTCATATGCCGTGACAGCTGGCATGGGGCAACTCATCACCTGTCTACGGTCGCCCTGCGACTGAATTAGGTTCGAAACTCCCCCGCGCGCGCGACGACGTCGACGGCGGCGGCGGCGGCGGCGGCGGCGGCGGCGACGACGACGACGACGACCGACCGACCGACCGACCGACTGGCCCAGAAAATAGGTGCCAGGAACTAGCCCGGGACCCAGGGGAAGTCACCCGAGGTCCCCCCGAGTACGCCCCAGTCGGTTTGGTTTAAATTTTACCACCCGAGACCCCAAAGCCCGAGTTCACTCAGCGTAGAATCGCTGCCCGAGGACCTCCGGTGGGCTTCGCGACCCGCCGGCTGTGCTAGCTCGGCCCGCCCGGGGCGTTCGGGGCCCCGCGGGCTGCGGAAGGGCGCCCGTGCCGGGGCATTCAGCGCTCATGTAGAGAACGAAATATATATTATCCAAGAATCCAATCCGCTGATCCCATTGGTCGGACGAGATTTCAGACGTCTGAGTTTCGAGCATGGTCCAACGATCTCTGACGCTGCGTTGGGCATATTATGGTTCACAGGGGAAGAAAACGAGAGTAGTTCGCAGTAGGAACTCGGGGTCAGAGATCCTGAAACTTCAGTCCGTCTCGTGGGGGAACACGCAGAAGCTGAGATCTCTGTTCCCCGCCTCCCAGCGCCGCGCGACGCGCCCACCGTGGCGTGTTCGACTTCTGCTGCCTCTCGCTCGACATGGAGTAACTTTTCGAGAACGCCGACCCAGACTTCGTACGGCGAAGTGCTCTCAGTTTCTTCCACAGTGGCCCGGAACATGCCGAACGCAGCGTCAGATGTCGTTCGACCATCGTTCAACCCCCTCAATTATCATTTGTCCGAATCCCGAATAATGAACCGTTCGTTCTGTGTATGCCATGATGATCGAGATTGCTGGGTATTTCCTACTGGGTATTTCCTAGTGTTGATTAGGGGTATGGTAAATCGGCGGGGGATACGGGGAGGATACAGCGTACTCGCCAGCTGCGTTTGGCACCCGGCGGCCATACTTGCCGCGCCCCGCCCTCCTTATCCCTCAGCATGCTCCAAACCACGACGCAGGCACGCGGTGGCATCTCGCTGTTTCGGGTATCCTCGAATTTCGAGTCCATCAGCGCGTGTGCGATCGTCCCGCTGAGTCCAAACGCGTTGATGCGCCCCTGAATAACTGCTATGCTAGGATGTCGCTGCTGTATCATATGGCAAGTTTCCACAGAAATACACGGGAATGCCGCAGTCAAGGGCAAAATGTGACGATTGGTGCATTGAACCTCGGGATTTGGCCCAATTCTTGCCCTGATCATCGTTTCGATCAGTGAGGCGATCCCTGCTCCCGCTGATGCGATTCCCAGGTGACCAAGAGTCGCTTTGAGAGATGAACACTACAACGTAGCATTGTGCGCTTGGCGCCAGACACTGCTGACTGCGCCAATTTCGATTACATCTCCTAGCGGTGATCCCGCGCTGTGCGCCTCAAGCGGAACTGTCAATCCTTGAATTTCGTGCTTCGATTCTACACATCAAATCAGATTTTCCAGTGACCTGCCGTTTGGCGCCGTTAGGCTTGTGCGGAGCCCATCGCTAAGTGCTGCCGTTGATGCAACTTGCAGCGTGCACCCCAAGGCGTCTGGTATTAAAGCATACGCCACGCAGCTTTCGCCTCAGACATAGCCATCTGCCCGGGCATCAAACGAGTGGCAGCGCCCAACAGCTGACATTGCCCCTGAACACGTAGGCTACGAGGCTGATACGAGCACTCCACAGCAGAGAACCAAGCCTGGAGTTTGGGTTATTCAAATGAGGTGGATGCCTACAAGCTGAGTCGAACAGGCTGTGTCCAATGTGACACACAAGCCGGTGAGGCCAAAGGTCCAAGAGATGATCGCACAACCCTAGTTTGCGATCTATCCCTGAATCCCAACATACACCGCCGATTCCAGGTGCCTAGAGTCGACTTCCAAACATAATTATGCGCAATGTAACAAGAGATTCTCAAGCGGACGCGCATTCCTCCATTCTGGGCAGCTGTCACTCATCGTGGGTGATGACAGAAACGAACCATAGATACTCTCTGCGCTCCTAGTATGACATCAAAATAGAGGAATCAGGGTTGGGGTCTTGATTCTAGAGATGACATGCCTAGTCAGACAACTGCTGCCCCGCACGAGACCAGGCAACTCAAGGCAAGAGCGGCTGATGAAGAGCGATGGCTGTCTTTCGGCCACTCGGGACGGATGTTCACGTGCGAAGAATTTTTGGGATTCGCAAGGGGGCTGTATTACTTGGCCGGTTGTCAAAATCCAGGCCAAAATGGCCTCGAGTGTAGGGTAATCGAAGAGCAACGTTGAGGGAAGCTCAATACAGCATCACTCTGAAATCAATTGGACAAACTACACGCCAGATAACGAATCCAGACCAGCGGTTTGAAGGGGGCGATCAGCGGCTACAGTAGTACCAAGGAGCTCTAAGATCGACATGTCGAGAATCTTGACGATCGAGTGAGGCTCATAGCATAGAGATTTATAGTCAACGAGAATCATTCCCAAGTAATCACTCACCGCAGCTAGCGTTGGATATTCGAAGAGTATACTTGAGGGAAGTTCCGTGTTGAGCCGTTCGGAGATGGCTTAAAGGTATTAGGCGCCTGCCAAGGAATCTAAACCAGCATCTGTGAGCGACTCGTCCCAATCAGGATCAGTTCCAATGAGCTCTCGCGCTGACAGAACGATGATACGGTGAATTTCCGAAAAAGCATTCTTATCGACCTTGCACCCTTGCATATGCGTATGACCCACATGCTGCTTACTCATGTGCGCGTCCGTAGCATTCGCAACCCAATAATTCAATCGAGAAACGACCGGGTCGGTGCCCAGACTTGCAATATTTCCGATTTGGAGACCACTATCAACCCATTCCGGCGCCAGAGCGTCGACAATTGTACCAAATTAAGATTTAAGTCGGGTCTTTTGATTTGATCGATGCCGTGCCTCGCAAAGATCGACCAGCGCCGACCATTCTCGACGATTCTCTGAGAGGAATTGGTTGGGCAGGAATCGGCGATGATAGTTCAAGCTTCGATCGATCACACGCTAATAGGCGGCAGCCGCATACGCAGCGTTTTTGGTCATAAAATGAGCTTGCTCTTGAAATGCTGCGGATGCTGGAAAATCTATGACGTCCACTGCCATCCCTTCGGAGTCAAGACAATCTCGGCTTTCGAAAAACTTCATCAGCATGAGTATGTTGAGCGCTGCCGCTTCCAAGTAGCTCGACCCGCTTGGGCTTTGGAATCCGCCGGCATTGTCTAGAATTGCCTCGGCCTAATATGCAAGGTTAAGACGCACGATATTATTTGAGTATATCAAATTCTATCCGAGAACTGCTCACACCCTTTCATTTTTCCAATACCCTGTACATTTGACGACCATATCACAAGAAATTGCTTCCCCACCTGATGTTCATATCTCTGATTCACCTATTTGCTGGACTTCACCGAGCGTCGTGGAAAGAAGGCCGTAGTAGTGAGCCACAAGCCATATGTCTGATACCGAGACGGTGTGTCCGTGTGGCGACATCCGCCCTTCCAACCAGCACTCTGGCTTGGTAACACAACAGTGTTCAAAAGCAGAATTCCATGCAGCAAAAATGTGCTGCGACCCTGCTTTTGCATGAGAAAACTCCAAATCGTAAGGCCGGACAAAATTAAGATAGTCAACAATCAATGGGCAGACGGCGCCTCATCGTCGTTGCACAACTGCCACACGGCTGGCGCCACGTTCAAACGCAGTGCGCACATTTTCGGCCGCGAATGCACCTGCACCAACAATCAACACATTGGCAAAACTGAGTTCGACATGTGTGATCTCATTTTCCACCCCGTAACAACAGGTGCCTTGAAAGCGATGTTCATCGGCAAACTGCAGATGGCGAAGTGCTCCGAGTCGTCGGTTTATGCCAAACAATGATACTTGGGTAGCGAGTATACGCTTCTATTCAGGACAAATTCCATGAAAAATTGCATGAGCATTTACGTGGGTGCGTATCCCAAGCACCAGCGCACCAAACTTGATTCGGTGCTACAAATATAAAGAGGCTACAAAGTTGACGTCGTCTATGATCTAATATGTGGGTGTGTGATCGAAATTAATCATGGATCCCTGATCCGTGATACGATATGCTGCCTCAGAAGTATTTACGCGCGATGATATGTTGGCTTGAGAATGCCAAACGCCACCCACACTCGAACCCCGCTCGAGTAGCAGGCATTAGTGACCATCAGAGAGGACTTTTCTCGCAAGTAACAGGCCGGAGAATCCTGCTCCTGTAATGGCGAAGGAACAAATTGCACTGGGCCTGGTCAAGGGCCTAATGTTTCAAGTTCATTGCTTCCCGATGTATCGATAAATTGTATCAAGCATCTCTCTTGCCGTCCCATTACAGACCTCTGCACACTATGGAGGCCTTGCACAGGTGTGTTTGTATACAAAATTGTGACGAGGGGCACTTGGGCTTGATGACGTCCACGCTTCGACGTGAGCAACAAGTCGCGCACCCGGTTCACCAATTCCGATGGAGATGTTTATAGTATCCGCGTGCTTGCTGAGTTCCTGAAAAATTGAGTTGGGAGTGATAGCTGAGGCTGCGGCCAAGATCTCAATTTGTGGTTCAACACGAAGCTCGCCGAGTAAAGCGCCGGCGTCAGTTGCATCACCACCAAAAACTATCACTTTAGCCAGAGCACGGGTAGATCACGCCCTCACAGAAGTAAAGAATGAATCACGCGGATTCTCTCTCCCCAAACCAAAATGTGATGATGGACGAATCGAGCACTTCAGACAGGCAACAAGGCGCAAATTCAAGCAAAAATCCGAGGCAGCTGTCGACTGCTGGCGGTACCTGGAGGTCATCCTGGCAAGCTGGGGGGGCTCCTCTTCAGGGCCATCTAAAGATTAGAATGCCCCGTGCGCAATCGTCCCGCTAAAGCCAAACGAACTCAGCCGACCCGGGCTAACTTGGGCTCTTGCCCTTAATACCAACTCAGCAGGCATTTGAAACGACGATGATTGCGTGATCGAAGACAGGTGCACGTTCAGCCTTTTCAATAACGTATATCGATAATCAACGAGGACAAGGTAGAAACCGGTTAAGTTACGCGTTAACCGCAATCACCCACGCGATAAGAGGCATGAGGATTAGAGAAACGAGGCCTGCCGCGGCTGCAGATGGTTCCAGGTGGCCGCTGTTTGACTTTAAGGACGCGCAGCTAACTGAGCGCGAATTTGAGTTCAAGGCGCCAACGGCAGCGCCAACCTAAAATTTGAATTAAATGGCACACAAATATCTATTCAAAGGGTACCTCGATCGGATCGCCGAGTGCCGTCCCCGTGCCATGGGCTTCAAGTGCACATCCTCAACCCTTATCTCCCACGGCTTTGATCAGCCGCCGTTGCGACGACCCATTGGGCGCCGTTAAGCTCGCACTCGGGCCATCTTACTGCACCGCAGTCCCCAGAATATCAACGGCTTCGGAAGCATCTCCGGACGCAAGCAAGAAAGCAGCGCATCCCTCGCCGCGGCAGTAGCCATCGGCGCGGCGGTCGAACGAGTGGCATCAACCCAGGGCTGAGAGCATGCCCGCCTCAGAAAAAGCGACAAAAACCATCATTTCCAGAAGTCCCTCTCCGCAGGCGCAGGCGCGTTTGCATTCGGCAAACTGCATTGCACTGGTGGCAACATGGAGTGCGATGAGGGATGCTGAACATGCAGTATCAATAGGAAAACATGGGCCGGTAAGACCGAGTGTGTATGAGATGCGGCCAGAAGCGACGGCCATCGCGTTGGATGTCCCGGCGTACACGCTCACCCTGTTTTGAGATTTACTGTTTTGTTAATTACCTGCATTCTACGGTGCAAGGGATCCTGAAATACCAAGGTAAACCCCAACATGAGATTCAAAAAGATGAGCCCTACAATCTGTTGATTCCATGTCTGAAAATACGACATAGCAAATTTCTAAAAGAATCAGCTGCTGTGGATCAATGGCAGAAACCTCTGCAAAAGACATTCCCCACGCAACACGTTCCAGGTTAAGTTCCCCAAGAAAAAAGTTCCCATAAGCCACAGAAACAGCAGACATGATTGGTATGCTCCATCACGACGGGGGTGTTGTCGCAGCTAGTTGCTTGACGACGAAGCGCCGGAGCTAGTCATCTCACCTGACGCTGCTGGGTAGCACAAATTTTAGGTTAGACAGGAAGACAGCAAGAAGTTTGCCACCCTCTAAAAAAATACCTTGCTGAGGAGATCAATTTACACCTGAGCAGGTGCGCACCAAGACCTCATCTATCCCTGAGTTCAGGTTGCTTGTTTTGCCATGGGACTGCTAAAAAGAAAGCGGTGAGGTCGCGACCATGGAGCAACACAACTACGCATAGCCAGCAGAAGAAGACAGAAGCTATGATTGAATCAACAAGAAGGATGAGGATAGGCATGAGTCTGCCAGCGCAACGCTTTCCTGCGCATTTGCAGTGTGGTACTCCTACTACATTTCAGATCAACACTTCAGGATAGAGTATGTTCAACAATGATTATCAAGGAGTAGTCAGGCCATCTCCTCGGCAGTGTTCAGCAAGACTGAATCATCCACAACAATGGAAGCCACTAAACTTATCGAACCGGCTTCTATCGAATCAGGAATCCAGCCATCTGTGAGCATCCGAGTTGCCGCCTATTGGCCCACAATCCGGGAAACGTGCACGGAAGAACAGCCTTCTGGCGACACTCACCAGCGAGAAAATGGCAAAGAGTATTTTGCGTGGCGCGAGGAGACTGCGCTGTCGCAAAGGGTGGCCTGAGTCACACCTCCGCCAAATGCGGAGCCGTTCACGGCAGCGACGATTGGTTTGCTCAAGTTGAGAAACGAATCAAACAAGGCCAAGGAGCCAGCTGTCAGAGATCCAAGAAGCTCCATTGGACGTAAAGGACGCAGCATCTCATCAAATTTTGCAGCAGTACAGAAGTAAGCACCGCGCCCAGTGATAATAACCGCCAGCGTGGATGTATCTGCACTGATCATCGCCAAGAGGGTAATCAAAGCGCCCGATACCGCAGCATCAAATGCGTTCTTTTCCTTCGGCCGATTATATGAGATGACTATGACGCCATCTACAACTCGAGACACTAAGATAGGTGGACTATTGCACTCTTCAGTTCCTTTACTGAGACTAGAAGTTTGAGGAATAGACTGTGTGACACCGGGCGCCAGGGACGGGTGGGCATCATCCAGGTTCAATACCAGGTAGGCAGAAATAGATGACATTGTCGGGTGATCAAAAAGGAGTGTGGCTGAGATCTCGAGGCAAAATTGTTGTGAAAGCTGCTGTACGAGTTCAGAGGCACCAAGAGAGTCAATGCCTGCTTCCATAAGAGGCGCGTCCGTGCAGACTGCCTAGCCAACTGAGTCTTTGATTATAGAACTCACATGGTTCTGGATACTCCCCTTGCTCCAGAGCATAACTGCAGACGCAGTCGCAGCACTTGATGATTTTGCCCGCGACAAGACAATTGCTGGCCTGGCTGCGCGCTCATCGCAAGGCTGGCAGAGACTGGAAGTCATGGACAAACCTGCAACGTATTTGCAGATAGAAGCTGTGCTTGGATGATCGAATAGCAATGTTGCAGGTAATTCCATCTCAAATGCCCCGCCTATGGACTCGACCACTTCAGAAGCTGCGAGAGAGTCAATTCCAGCTTCCATTAGCGGGATGTCTTCTTATATGCTAGTCCCCACGCTTTGCGCGATCAACAAGTTTATGGTAGATTCGACTGGTTGCGCTTGCGCCTTCGGTTTCGGATTGAACAATGCGATTAGAGGTGTCATGCGCGTGACTTGATCGTATTCCCTGGATCACTGTGCGCGTCATGCAGTAGCGCGCGATGCGACATCGATGGACATCAGGGTCGCGCCTGCAGTGACACTGGCTTCACTGTTGAGAAGTATTTCTTAGATAGAATGATGACCGTGCGAGTCATTTCTTGCCACTGGTATTGCATCAACACTGGCTCCAGCGCAAGCAGTAGCGCTCGCGAGCAACCGAGCTGCTTGAGAATCCAAGGAAACGTTGTCTACAAGACCCAGCGCCATAGCATGCCAAGAGTCTATGAGTATGCCATCGACATACATTCTTGTAGCAAAATGCCAACCCACGAGCTGAGGAAGGACCGCAGTTGCCATGAGCACGGGGCTCAGACCATACGACGCCACCCCCAACTTGAACACTGCACATGCTGTTGCCAGACGGTACTCGCTTGCCAGGCCCAACAGCAACCCACCACCGATTGAAGACCCGTGAAGTACTGAGATTGAGTAGATCGACGCGCTTCAAATCTGGTCCAGAAGATGCCCAGCCCCATGTGTGCCCTGGGCCTTGACCCACCATGTTGAGGACGGAGACGCCGTTTTGTCATAGCGACCGCCAGTGCAGAAGTGGGGACCCGCGGCTTGGAGCACCAACGCCCGAGCGCTGCTCGAAGCAAACACTATTCATAGCAAAAATGCTAGCTTCTGCAAGAGACCTGGACTCATGGCATTGAAAGTATTAAGGTCGTTGAGCTCAAGAGTCACAACGCTAGGATCATTCCACACCAGTATCACCGTCTCAATCGTATCCGACAGATACCACTTCATTGCCCTCAACATCGTGCCTGTGACCACACTCAAAGCTCGCATTACTCGAGTAGGTGACAGTTCAAGCGACAGTTTATGTTTCAGCTGGGAAGCGTCTCACGTTGATACACAATCTCGCACAACCTCATCGATGACGCACATCTCAGATGTTTCCACACTGTCTGCTTGGGATTGATTTGATGTGTATATGACCTTAACAGCAGAAATTATCTGATTGAAAATGTCCCTGAGGGATATCACGGCATTGAGACTCGCGCAGCCTGAGTAGATTATTGCAATTGACGCAGGCTCATCTCTCCCTGGGATTGAATTCCACGTGTTGGTCTCCACGACGCATTCGACATGAATACAGATATCTATTCCGCTTTCCCATGTAGGGCTTAAGATTGCCAAAAGGACAGCAAGTTCTGTTATTCCAAGTGAAGCCAAACGAATTTTAAGGGCCTAGCTTGTTGCGGCAATGATTGCAACATGATCAGGCCACGTGTGATCAATTGTTTGTGGTGCAACGGAACCAGGCGATCACCCACACTCTGCAATGTGCGCGTCTGCTGACAGAGACCTGATATATGAGTCGGTGACTCACAATGCGATGTTTGTTCCTCTGACAATACAATCTGCACCCGCGCTGCACATGTGGGCAAGGAAAAGATTGGACCTTGGCGCCCCACAGGATTCCTTCAAGTCGCCAATTATCGGCGTGGCTGTGAACTAATTGCAAATCGCAAGGTTGCGAAGAAATTCAAACTAAAGCACCACGCCAACAGAACATTGTGAAATGGATTCCATTGCATGCTGCGTTACAGGCGTGGCTCCCATGACAACTACCCGACCCGAGCTCCAGTACAAGCAGAATCTAGATATATTCCAACTTTTGAGCATGACTGCAGGAAGTATGTTTTGCCGTCTCTCTGACATGTGGTCCCACGAAAAAAACGTTGTTTTGTGGTGCATCAAAACACTGATGAGGCTCAAGCTCAGGACGCGCACACAGTTAATGTCTTCAATCACCGTCGTCTGCGAACAAGCGTTCGTTCTTCTACCAACCAGGCGCATTGAAGCTAGTGTGTTTCGAAGACCGACAGCTTTGATACGTCTCAAGGTCAATGCGCAACCCGCTATTCGATCACACGCATCCCTCTCGCTGACGGCGACGGCGCTCACCTGCTGGAAGGAGTGCCTGGGTCAAAGACCTCGGGTGACATTCTTCCTCGTAGCAACGCACCAGTCTGCGATTTGGGCCAAGTCTGCATTGATGTTGGTGATGTTACCAAGGGCGACAAGCAGGGGGGGGGGGATGTCCCAGGTGAAAGTCAACGAGGCCATGCAAGCCGGTTTGATTTGGTAAAACAGCTTGGTATGGTGGAGTCTTCCGCTTAAAATGATAGCTTGGCATGTGATTGAACTCGGCAGGTCTCCGAGAGACCCAGCCCAGGTTAGATCCGCGCATTCAAGGGATTGATCATCTCACCAACGCAAAGACATCTCTCGTGGGCTGGTTCTCTGTACGTTGTATTTGCCGCTACCCTCGAGCGCATGTTGCACACATGCAAAATTCAGCTGTCTGATGCACCCTCCACCTGCGCACCAGATTGGCCTTTGAGCACCTTCAATCGCAGATGACTTTCCGGACACACGAAGACGAATTACTCCGAGCGAGTCAGCTAGTGTCGGAGCTAATTTGGGCAGCTTGTGTCCTCCATCGAAACTAATAATACCAGACTCTGGTCCGAGGATTCCGGCGGTGCGTCCAGCCATGTGCTAAATATCTACAGTATCGTCAGCGCCGACCAAGTGAAAGGAAGGAATATTGATAGCTACTCCTACGTAGAGTCATGCGTGAGCTGGCGAAGTCAAGGCGCACATGCTTATTAATGTTCAAGGATGGAATCCTGGCTGTAATCGTGAAGGGAGATCTGCGAGCAGAATGAATGCCAGCGTGGCACCTTCACTCATACCTGCTAACCCATGAATAGAAGCCTGTTGTCTCAAGACTCGCCGGGCGTGATTCATAGATGCCGTCCAGTCTTCCCGAAGCCCATAGATGTCATCGCCTTTGTCTGTAGCTCGCCGGATGCGAGCGAACATTTCCGATTAACTCGTGCTTGTCAGAGAATACTGGGTGATCAGCCGCCACGACCGCGACTTGCGCGGCTCATACCCGAATCATGCGCGCAAAAATAGACCGCCAGGTCCAGAGGAGAAGTCAGCACCTTAATTTGGAGCGCTCACCGTAATCCACTCTACTTCACGACCTCGCATCCATCCCTGGTGATTCAAAGAACTGGCTTGAAATTCCGCGTAGGTGTCCATGCCGTGGAAATACATGAGCCGAGGTATTGATCAGGAGCCTGGAAAGAATTTCTGACTCGTGTGATACAGCCCCTGATCACACTTCACAAGTGACGCGCACGATGGATAAAGATTCAGGATCCGTGATCAACTTCTTGCTGGCACTTATGAATTCTAGAGACGTCGACAGGTGAAGTCGCAACGGTGGCGACACCAATGATAATTATAATCGACTCAGAAGTTGATAAAATCTTACATATCTCTGTGCTGTATCTACCACCGAACCATCCATGCCAAGTCACCAGGGTCCACCATTGCCTCAAAAGGTCTTTAGGTGTTGCGATCGCCACTTTTAGGTGTGCAGAACCATTGGGTATTTGATCATTGCACCACCGGCTGTCTCTCTGTTTTGATTCCAAGATCGACACGTGCCGGATTGTCTTGAACTAACGGCTACGATGACATTCACCCACGATATTGAGATCTCACGCTCGCATGCTAAGCAAATAACAACTAATTCACCGTGCAAACAAACGCCCCATGCCCGATTGTCCCACTAAATCCAAACGAGCTCAGCCGACCCGGGCTGGAAAAAACTGTCGCTTGTGGAATTAGGCAGACAGGCATCTCAAATGACGAAGATTGCGTGATCGAGGAGAGATGGACATTCAACCTTTTCAATGGACAATCAACATTCCAGGTCACTGGAAGTATATACCGACCGGTCTAGCTGCGCGTTCACTGAAATCATGCATGCCTCAAGAGACACGAGGAGAAGAGACACCAAGCCCGCTGCAGCTGCAGATGGCTCAAGGTGGCCCATGTTCGACTTCAGGGATGCGCATTGTACCAACTTTGAATTCACACACAATGCTCCAATAGCGGCACCTGCCTGAAACAGCCAACTACAGACATGCGACTTGTTATTTGAAAAATACCTCGATCGGATCGCCAAGCGCCGTCCCAGTGCCGTGGGCTTCGAGTGCAGAAACTCAACTCTCATCCCTCACGGCTTCAATCAGCCGTCATTGCGATGACCCGTTCGGCGCCGTCAAGCTCGCACTCGGGCCATCTTACTGTACTGCGGTCCCCAGAACATTCACAGCTTCGGAAACTTGTCCAGACGCAAGCAAGAAAGCCCCACAGCCCTCACCGCGGCAGTACCCATCGGCACGGCGGTCAAATGTGTGGCATCAACCCAAGGCAGAGAGCATACCTGCCGCTGAGAATGCAGTAGACACCATCGGTGTGAGCCTTCCAACTCCTGCAGCCGCAGCTTTCGGGCATTCCAGGAGTCGAATGGCTGATATCGCTAGATGTACGGCCACGAGTGAAGACGAGCATGCCGTGTCGAGTGTCATGCAGGGACCCGTCAAGCCGAGCATGAACGAAACTCGTCCAGATGCTACTGAGAGAGCCCCAGAAGTCCCCGAGTACACCGTAGGTGCTTCATTCTTGCTAGCTTCCGTCTTCTCCACGCCCCCGCTCCAGAGCACACCCCCGAAGCCCAAAAAGAATCCGACTGGCATATTTGCGAGCTCCTGGCGGGAGTTTGACTCGCAGAGCGCAGAATAGCTCGTTTCCAATACTACGATCATCTGAGGATTCATCGTTCAAGACTCTAGCTTCGAGATTCCAAAAGCTGCTGGATCAGAGAGAAACGAAATGAAAGACCCGTATGCTGCCGAGGCGTTGGAGGCGCCTCCTACGATCTCCCAACGTAATACAGGCACTCTCGAGCTCGTCGCAAGACCAAGCACAACAAGGCGCTCGAATCCCATATCTGTGCTTCGAAAGCCTGGGAGGGCAAATGAGAATGCCATTGACATGGACGTTGCGATACTCGACTCTTCAGAAACAATCGCCTCGGTCGACGTTCGAGCAACAACCTCAAAAGAGGTCACCATGTGTCCTTCAACGACCACATTGGAAATAAAGCCTACCACTGACTCAATTGTCGGATAGTCGAACAGCAGCGTCTGCGGAAGTTCAGTGTTGAGTCGTGCTCTCAGCATGCTTGCTAACTCTGTAGCAGCAATGGAGTCCAGTCCAGCAGCCATCAATGGCCTACTACAAACAATAAGCGTGCCAAGCACGTCAACCAGCGACGCCGAGATTATCTCACCCACCTCTTGAGTATTGAAGCCAGCCATGAAATTTGATGAGACAACCCTGCAACAATTCATGTTTGTATTCGTGTTCTCACACTCAACGAGCGTTGTTGATGAAACGAATTCAGCTACTGACTTGATAGTAGGATAGTCAAAGAGCAGTGTCTGCGGCAATTCCGTGTTCAATCGCTTTGTGAGAGTGCTAGCAAACTCTGTTGTTGCGATGGAGTCCAGCCCGGCGGCCACCAGTGGCTTATTTCTGGCGATAGCCGTGCCAAGCATTTCGACCAATAACGCAGAAATTATCTCACTCGGAGAGAAAGTATTCGCACCAACAGCAAAACTCGAAGAAAATGTGCTGCTCGAGACTACGTTTGTCTTCGACTCTCACGACGTTTGTTGAAGAAATCAGGCCCTCAGTTGTAAGTCCTTTGTATTCAGCTAAGCCGTCGTCAATGAGGACACCAAGTGTACAGCACAGGGCAGAACGAACAACTCGCTGGCAGAGCACAGCTCGTACAGTCCACGGTACGTGTTAACTTGGGGGCTGAGAGGCCGAGAGTATGAACGGCACTGACTCGTTTCAAATCAGGAGTACGGCCGCATTTAGACCCCACACTGCGAAATACAGAGCATCATTCAAGGCGCAGTCTAAATTTTGTATTAGCGTGAGATCGTCGTCACCATATCATTCTCAATGCCAAAATTAATTGCCTTGGCTGCGATGGGATTGCGCGTTTTACTAGTCAATGTTGCTACGGACTGGAAAAATGGAGGTCGACTGGTCATTGCGAGTAGCCGCTTCACTTGAGTCAAAACATGCATGCTCACTGCGAAGCGCTCTCCGTGCCATCCACGATAGAGGGCTTCTAGTGACGTTTGTGCGCAAAGTACAGCAGCATTGCGACCTGCGTCTTAACAGGCGTGCACACTAGGACCTGGAGCTTGCCGCAGCGTGCATTACTTCCGCCTTGAATGCCTGGTCAGGCCAGGGCTCACACAAGGGACACCACCTGTCGCGCCTAGTTATTATCATGGCATTCTCCAACATGCTATTTCTGACAAATCAGTGGCGCTTGGACAAGCTCACGCCGACTCGTGTTCGTGACAAGCACCCCTCATTGAAATCGACACTTCACCCAAGGATTTTTGCAGAAACGTCGCACTCTCTATCTTCCCGTTTCAATTCTTCTAGGGTCTTATGTAGCTATGACCAGGATTTGCATCACAGGCTCGTCTTATTACATTAATCGGCTGTAGGGGTGTTGCACAGAGCTCGAGATGCTTGACGTGATTACTGTCGACATGACTTCCAACAGCATGTGTCGTGAACATTGACTGACTTCAACTTTCAACAGCATAGGTTCCAGGGGCTTGCTTTTAGTACCGCACAACGCACGGATCTAAGCCAGGTGCTGGCAACATGTATGGACGTACAAATCCAAGAATGGCCAGCGCTATCTGGTCAGCTCACTTGGTAGACGCACATGCAATCTCTACGTAGCCAACGCCAGGGAAAAGGATGCTGTCGCCAACGATGTGATCAGACAACGTTCCAACTGTCTAGGGTGACATGGTACCCTCCGTGACCTGAACAGATGGTGAAGTTCTTGAAGCCTCACCTAGCCTCATTCCCTGGATGCAACTATTCAAATTCGGTCACTGCGCTCAATAGGAGGACACATTTTTTTTTCTGATGACGGGCGGCGTTACTGCAGAGCAGGCAAATGCTCCGTGTGCAATGGTCCCAGTTGCACCAAATGAACTCAAGTGACCTGAAGGCGAGAAAAGGAAAACTGAAACCGGATTGTGAATGGGAATATCGAACAGCGGCGCTCAAAGCAGCATGATCAAATGCGCATTCAGATGTCTCAATTAGGCGTTTGGAGCAACAGAACCAATGGAGAAAGGTGAAAACAGTAGTGCGACAACCCCGGCGCCTCCTGCAACGGCCTCGAGATGGCCCATGTTTGCTTTGAGTGAGGAACACAGAACTTGAGTTCCCGATGCACAAAGCGCGCCAACGGCTGCGCCAACCTCCACGGGATCTCCCAGCGCAGTTCCTGTGCCGTGTGCTTCAAGAGCTTTGCCGGTCCCTTCTTCATGGCGCATGGTCTTCTACACTGCATCGAGGAGACGTCGCTGCGTAGATCCATTGGGTGCCGTCAAGCTAGCACTTGGTCCATCGTTATATACTCGCGTTGCGCAGACCTCACATCTGCCCCCCCCATTCTGCGCCAACCTCAACAAGAGGGAAACACGACCCTCTCCACGACAGTATCCATCCCCCCGATTATCGAAGGTGTGACATCTTCCACAACCTGAGAGCATGCCCAAAGAGGCAAAGGCGCGTGTGAAAACTGGACCAAGCAGTCCGACGCCAGAGGCAATGGCTTCTGGGCATTCGTCGCACTTCAGAGCAGTGGAGGCGAGGTGAACCGCCACGAGCTGCGAGCAGCACGCAGTATCAAGCGAAACACACGGTCCGGTGAGACCTAGTGTAAATGACACTTGCCCCGAGGCAAAAGAAATCTAAGGCGCTCCAGCCACAGAGGAGTCTCCAGCTGTTGCCCGTTCAACAGGCTGGCCAAGAATTCCGATGAAAACACCCAGATGATGTTCACAAGTCCCTAGACAGTCTTATAGCACAGAATGTGCCCCTTGGAGGAGCATGATGAACTGCGGCTCCATCAAGTGTGCCTGGTGGGGGGGTATTCCAAACGTTTGATGCTCCAAACACAGTGGCTAGTAAAAGAATGACCCGTAGCTTGCCGCAAAGTCCCGCGGGTTGAGGGTCCAGCGAAGCAAAGGTATAGAAGACGGCGTTACAAAAGTTTGAGTCAGGAGCTAGTGCATCATGCATGGTCTCAGGATGCTGCCAGAGATCTGAAAGGATGTTGCAATCAAGTTCACAGACGCATTACTTGCAATAGCTGGCATTGACATTTGAAATACACGTTGATTGTTTCTCTCTCGATGTGCAGATGTGGTGCAAGGCGAGAAAACTCTCTTCGACGCTTCGCAACCAGCAGAGTCAACTAAAGATGCCTCGTAGTGCAGGCTTTTGCCTTCTGAATGTGACACAAAGTCAATGCTCTACGTGGTCAAGACAAAAGAAGCGATCCCTTGAACTGAGGGGTGATCGAAGAGAAGCGTGGTTGGAAGTTCCGCACCAAACGCTTCACTCAGCGCATGTTGCAGCTCAGTGGCGCCCAAAGAATCAACACCAGCCGCCATCAGTGGGCTATCCGCGTCCACGTCTGTACCAAGGACCTCAGATACACTCGCGGCCACCGTCATTTGCAATTGGTGCAAGTCTACACATTAGGAGGCTGGTCGAGCAGACGCGACCACTTGCTGTTCTCGGACGACAAAGGAAGCGATCCCTTGAACTGAGGGGTGATCGAAGAGAAGCGTGGTTGGAAGTTCCGCACCAAACGCTTCACTCAGCGCATGTTGCAGCTCAGTGGCGCCCAAAGAATCAACACCAGCCGCCATCAGTGGGCTATCCGCGTCCACGTCTGTACCAAGGACCTCAGATACACTCGCGGCCACCGTCATTTGCAATTGGTGCAAGTCTACACATTAGGAGGCTGGTCGAGCAGACGCGACCACTTGCTGTTCTCGGACGACAAAGGAAGCGATCCCTTGAACTGAGGGGTGATCGAAGAGAAGCGTGGTTGGAAGTTCCGCACCAAACGCTTCACTCAGCGCATGTTGCAGCTCAGTGGCGCCCAAAGAATCAACACCAGCCGCCATCAGTGGGCTATCCGCGTCCACGTCTGTACCAAGGACCTCAGATACACTCGCGGCCACCGTCATTTGCAATTGGTGCAAGTCTACACATTAGGAGGCTGGTCGAGCAGACGCAACCACTTGCTGTTCTCGGACGACAAAGGAAGCGATCCCTTGAACTGAGGGGTGATCGAAGAGAAGCGTGGTTGGAAGTTCCGCACCAAACGCTTCACTCAGCGCATGTTGCAGCTCAGTGGCGCCCAAAGAATCAACACCAGCCGCCATCAGTGGGCTATCCGCGTCCACGTCTGTACCAAGGACCTCAGACACATGGGAGCTCACTTGCTACAATATCTCAGCCAACTCAATTATTGATGCTCGGAGTGCGGGATTTGTCCCTGTATCCATACCAATTTTGGTTTATGCGGCTAGTTTTTGCTGCGTTGCAGTCATTCAATTGGAACTAGACTCAGAGAAAAACAAAACTTCGAGGGCGGCATGGACATGATCAGACACACATGCACAAGCCATCAGTGTTGGTGGATCTGTACGATAGATATTCGCCTTGCTCACATCTGCCGCAGTATGCTTTGCGTCGGCACGACTGACTGTCACTTTGCTTGCCAATTTGCATGTTATCGCGGCCTGACTCGATACCAGCGTGTCTTCGATGTATACCTGAAAGCTAGCAGGATCACCTATCATCAGCGGCAGAGCGCGGCTCAACATAAAAATAGGATTCACTCCACGAGGTAAGTTGCCAAAATTGAAGGTCGTGCTCAGACTACACACACGCCAATCTGCAGCAAGCGCAAATGCGACGCCGCCTCCCAGGAGCTTTCCATGAACCGACGCAAATGTGTGCACGCGGAGCATTCAAATGTCTCATGTGACATCACTCGTTGCCTTCAAGGCAGTGAGCGGGCCAAACTCATGTTTTTCGTGCCGCGCTCCAGTGCAGAAATGGGCACCACTACCCTAGAAAACATGCGTGCGTACTTCTCCATGATAGACCAGGTGATGCAGGTGCCTGATCACGAGTATTAAGTCGCGCATGAGGTGTCTCCCCTGTGCGTTGAAGCTAATTGGGTCATTGAGGTCTACAGTGGCTGACATGGAGATGCTCAAACGTACAACTCGCATCTGATGTGCTGATGCTTCGCACAACGTGGCTCGGTCATCTCCGGAGAACAAAACTGCTTCAGCGCATGAGCGAAACAGAAACTACCTTTTTAGCCTTCTGAGAAGTATGGTGCCTTGAGTCGTGGCAACACGCTAAATATGAGAGAATGCATTTGATAATGAGCCTGCGCCGCGTGGAGTAATTTAGTAATCAAGACCGGAACCGCAAGTTTGCACTATCACATCAGACACGAGGATCAAAGGTGAAATGAAGCGCTTCATCTCAGCCCAAAGGACCAAAGTTGTAGGCAGCTGACAGTGGTTAAGTGCACCAGCGAGTATCAAAGCAGGCCGCGTGTCAACACACTAAATTTGGCTAAAGTGGATGATGTGTTGGTAAGATAGAGGCTGAAGGTGACTAACAATCAGGAAAACACTCGCGAGGTCATTCTTTTCTGCACAGACCTTCAAGTTTCACACCAGTGCTTGGACGTCGACTCAATTTTACTCTCCTCAACTTTTTATTGGCTCCGCCAACAGCTGACCTGCTGCGGAAGCGGGCGCACAAACTGGCTTTCTTGCGCCACTTGAGTTATTGATACAACTCCATGACCCGTCACCAATAGAAATTTTATTGGTCCTGAGGGCTATTTGACTCAGGACAGAAATCTCACTGTGTTGAGGCGAATGATTGTAAACGCGAATGTCACACAAAGTAGCATCAGCATCGAGGTTCCGAGCATGTCCACTCGCACTTCATAGCAGCGCGGTAGCGTTGCGGGTTCCCGTACGAGGTGCCATGCACACAGTTTTCGCAAGAGTCAGAGCATGAGAATCCATGTCAGAGAAGGCATCGTGCAGCGCTGAAATCAGGCTCTTGATGAGCAAGTTGGAACTTTCACACGTGTCAGGCTACACGCGGTTGCCAAATTCAAGAGAGCCAGTTGGTGGAGGCTCGAGACGCGACTGGGCAAGGCAAGTCACCCAGTCCGCACCAAGAGTCGCCGGAAAAGTATGCGCCTTCGATCCTTGCAGCGTCGTAAGCAACGGAGTCTTGAGATTTCACAGCATATTTTCGCATGCAGACCATGAGCAACGCGTGTGCCTATCACAAGCTGCGCACTAGCTTCGCATCGCAACTTTTGCTTATCAATATTATGAGCACACTCATATTAATATCGAATGCATTTCACCAACTCAGTTGCATTCTACCAAAAAATCGTGCAGGCGCCTTGGTACAATGTTGGAAACAACCCTGAGTGCTAATTGCCCGACTCCTGCTTGTGGGTATGCAACACGAAGCTGGTCAACATCGAAGGTGAACTAAGATGCTTCGAAGATAGAATGCAACCCTGCCATTGGTGAGAGGAGGCATAACGCAGGGAGCTCACTCGCCAGCCCCACAAGATCAGGGTCTTTGTCATGCAAAACAACCATGTCTACAAGATTTCTCTTCAAAGCGACAGGAGCACCGAATGCTTCTCCGACTAACACCCATCATCAGATAATGTGAGATCTTACTCGCTCGCGAAGGGCAAATGTAGCGACGCCAGAAATATCTTGTTAGATAGCAAAGACCGAGTCATATGTCGTAACAACAAGGTCTGCGACTGCTGGGAACAGCATCTGATTCCCCGTCATGTCCCCACTAATTGTCAATGCAACTGGAAGACGATTCCGTCACATATGCAGAAAAAGCCTTCTTTCAGCTGACTCACTTCAACTTCCATCGCCTTGCGATATCAAACCAGCAAATCAAAATGCGACAATACTATCAGGGGCTAGGAGCGGAATGAGTTAGCGGAGCAATGCATCAGTCACAATTTCAGCGTGAAGCTCTATGAGGACAAGTTGTTTGTGCACATTGATCTTCAACTCAGCTACATCGCGGTGCACATGATAGCTGCGGATGCCCGTCTTACTGACACGACGCAAATAGTAAGCTCCATCTTGTCGACTCTACTAGTGAGCAGGCTCAAATCCAAATCACCGATGTGTCATTTCGAACGCGTGAACCAAGAGCAGGGCTTCTTCTACCGATGCTGGTTGCCTCTCTTTCAGGCAAACGAGCACATCGGAAGCATGACGTGGCGCACCAGTTGACTCGAGTCCAAACATGCTCGCAGCACATCCAGATCCATATGCCATGCACAGGATTCGTTAGCCTTGTAGCCCGTCTTCAATAACAAGAGCCAGAGACAGTAAAGATGCGTAGACCGGGCACGTGTATGTGGTCGCATTTTGGACACCAATGGCGACGCCAGCTTCGGCGTACTTTCTGAATCAAGTCTCATGCTGAGCCTTCGACAGCTTCCCATATGTCACTTCGCACATGAGCCGCAGGTTTCGTTTGCTGTGGTACGGAGCATTGTTGTGGTAGACGGTGAGATCAAATTGAGATAAAAGATCTGTCGATTCCCGCGTCGCACTGATCCTCCGTTGACACCACAACATGGCCTCTTCGTATTAGGCTGTAGCAACTGTCATGTCCACTACTGCATCATTTGTCGGCCACCCAACAGGCCGGTAAAAGTCCAACGAGTGTTTAATGAAAGTTGAACGGTCATGCTACAAAAAACAAGGAGCACGTGGAGCTATTGTCATTGCCATCGAAGACGCCCCAATACCTGAAATCTGAGCTGGATCTGGATGCACAGCAGGGTCGGAACAAATCACAACACCATACTCACCATTCCATCCTTGACCTTGAATCCAATTTGTTGTACTAAAAAATGCATTGGTTCCCCCATAACAGGCGTTGAAGGTGTCAAGACCTTCCACACTGTGGTGATCATCAGCTTCAAAAAACGACATCAAAAAAGACTTCGTTGACTTTCCCCGGTCCACTGCACTCTCCGTACCGACCTCAAGACGTCCAATCTCTGTGAAGCTGAGCTCAGTTTCTCAAAATAGCCTGGACATACTCGACATGGCCATTGCTACTGTATCCTCATCATCGCTCACAAAAGTGATGTTTTCTTGTCCTCGGCCAATCGTGTATCAACCAGGACTTCAGTGAAAGGTTTCTACGCTGGAGGCACTCAAGGTCAGGTTTGGAGCGTAATACGATTAAGTAGCAATGCCGGCACGCTCGCGAACAGGATCTATCACACTACGCAAGGGTAGGGATAATGAAGACTCCCATCATTCCGTGTGGATGCCGCTAGCCCCGAGTTCATTACCGAAGGACTATGCATTAACAACAAGAAATCTGAGAGCTCGATCATGGACACTCGCTTGGTATAGGCGGGCCCACCTTTTTTTGCCAATATGCCAAATTGAGTGGATGTAGAGTATCTCACCAGGATTTGTGCTGGACCAATCTGCTTCGAGAAGGAAATTTGCTCATAACAATACCATCAGCGAGTAGGGCAGTATACCTCACGCTAAACGATGTGATTGGAAAATAATGGTTTCAGCTTGAACGCTAAATAGGAACGTGCAAACTGCGTTGTTTTCTAGGGAACAGTGGCAGGATGCCTGTTGGAAGATGTTCGTCGGAAACCCTGGCTCGCGGTACGAATCCTTTTGGAAGTCTTTCGTCATGCCATGAGCAAAAAGTCATGGAGATCGACCCACGGTCAGAATATTCCATGTGCGTGCCATAGAATCATACTTGAGACTGAAGTCTTTTTCGTGTAATCCTGATGCGTATGTGCAAATGTGAGAGAGGTAGGAACCAAAATTTGTGAGCGCTCTAGCCAAAATAGCAGGCAGAGTACACACCAGATCAAATTCGTTTGAGCTAATGTTCATCTCGGTTTGTTTCACTGACCTCTGTTTGTCACGAGATACCACGCTTTGTTTTGACTAATAGAGAGAAGCTGCTTAGACGAATTCCCAAACAGAGCACTTGAGATGAAAGCCAGGTTCGAGCTCGAGACGTGCGTGCGCAATGATGCCGGTAGCTCCAAATGAGCTTACACCGCCAATTGACTCGTCAACTGACACTGCCATATCTGTCGCAAGCTCAAGGGTTCCTCTGGCAATCAGATCTTGTATATTTGGGTTTAATCAATGGAGTTGGGCATTTGGAAATGTCCCTCAAGATTCAAGCACATTGCTGAGTTTCGACAGGCCACCAGCACCAGCTGTACCTTCCATGTGGCCTAAATTACCCTTTAGAGAGACGATCGAAATTGATGCGAACACGCCAGCCAACGAACTGATCTCCACTGGATCCCCCAGGGACGTGCCGGTGCCGTGGGCTTCTATGACACATGTATTTATGTCCCCAGCATGGCGTATCAAGTGCTATTATGACGATCCATTAAGCGCCGTGAAGGTTGCGCTCTGTCCATTGTGGAGGCAGCTTGAGCCCCGATGAGTTGCTCAACTCATTGCGTGAGCAATGGAAGAAGAATTCACCATGCCCACGCAACCCTCGCCGCGCTAGTATCCATTGGCCCGCGCATCAAACGTGTGACATCGGCCGTGCGTCGACAGCATCCCGGCGCTTGCAAACATGGAAAATGCGCCGCGTGGGGTTAGGATCATGTTACTACCCATTGATAATGCGTCAACGCACTCCTCGTTTTCAATCATGCGGACTGCGATATGAGTCGCGACTAGGCTCGATGAGCAAGCTGTGTCCATGGCAATACATGGGCCACGCATGGCAAACACGAAGGAGAGACGAGCCCCAGCTGCAGAAGTGATGTTACCCGTCATATCGTATGGACCGGGAGTTCTTGATATGCTCCACATGTTGTCTGAATTCATCATTCCAAGCGTGACTCCAACGTCAGCGGCTGCTAGCTAGACTCCGTCAAGAGGCTTCCCTCGCAAGGCTCTGTATCCAACTTGCAAAAGTATATGTTGCTGTGGATCCATCAAGGATGCTTCTAAAGGTCTAATTCAAAAGCATTTCGCATCGAACAAGTCTGCGTCGTCAAGAAACGCGGCGTATCAAAGCCGCTGCCTCTAGTGAGAGTTGAATCCTCAGACATTCACCGTATCCAAATCCCAGCGAGAGATTGGCACAGAACCTGCCACATTCATCCCGCTTTACGAGCAGCCCACTGAGTCACTGCGACGATGAAGCTGGCCGGGGAGATGCAATGACATCGCCGCAAGATACGTTATTCGAGATTTATCAGTTGTGAAGCAAACAGGCGTGGTCGATTTTGGCGGCACAACAACGCCTCATGATCCCCGAGAGCGGAAGTGAGATCCAAGATGCTGTGCGATCGAGGAAATGCTTGGGTGGTCAAAAAGGGTCGTTGCAGGCAGGACAGTGCTAAAGTAGATACCAAGCTGTTAAACGAGCTCAGTTGTAGCGAGTGAATCGATGCCTGCATCCATGAGAGGAGCGTCACGAGCCACGTTTGTGTCGCCGAGCATTGATGACACTACGGACGTTACAAGATTTTCCGCAACCAGTGGTGTAATGTCAATCTAGGCTTAACAACGAGCGGTTTCCAGCTCTCCGCCCCCATGTGTAAGAGCTGAGGAGGCTCATTCTTCTCACCTTGCCTTGATCCGCTGTGACAGAAGCATGCGTCACAGTCCTTCGTTCACAAGTGCGCTTGCCTCAACATTTAGACAAGTTTCCTCAACAAAATGTCCAGCGTGGTGTTGGATACTACCCACCGCTGAAGCCTTGTCTGGCAAGCATTGAGAACGCGCCAAAGCCTGGCCTCTAGCTGTTCAGATATCAGGGAGTACAGCATTCACATATGCATAGATGCTAGCAAGTTGTGCAGGCACGACAGGATCCTCGACGTAAAGTCTTGTCGCAAAATGCCGACCCATCAGCGAGGGGAGTACCTTGGTTGCCATAACCACGGGACTTAGGCCGTGCGGCGCCACGCCCAGGCGGAAAGCAGCAGACGTTGTTGCCAAGCGATGGTCGCTTGCCAGGCCCAATAGCAACCCACCGCCGATTGAGGACCCATGAAGTACCGAGATAGAGTGGATCGACGCACTTCATATTTAATTGAGACAATGCCCACTGGCGTAAATGCCCTAAGCCTTGAACCACCAAGGCTAAGGCAACGTCGCTTTTTTCTCGTAGCGACCGCCAGTGCAGAAGTGGGGACCAGCAGCTTGGAGCACCAAGGCCCGAGCGCACCGGTTGGATGATACTTTTCACAGCAAGGATGTTAGATTGTGCAAGAGAGCTGGATTCATGGCGTTGAACGTAGAAAGATCATTGAGTTCGAGTGAAGCAACGTTGGGATCATCCCACGTTAGCATCACCGTTTTGATGGCCTGTGATAAATTCGGTTTCATGGTTCCCAACATTGCGCTTGTCACAGGGTCCACGGCTCAGGTTGCTCAAACAGGCGGGAGTGCAAGTGGATCGCCTCTTTCCAACTTGGAAGGTGGGTAATTGGCTGCGTTTGGGTCTCGCAATAGCTCATTGATGATGCACACTTCAGATGCTTCTAAGCTATCTGCTCTTGCAAAAGACGTGTACATGACTCCGACGCCAGAACACGTCTGGTTGAAAAGGCCGCTGAGGATCATCGCAGTCCTGAGGCTTGTGTAATTAGATGAGATGATTATTGTGCCCCAAAGACTGTCTCTACCTGAGACTGGATTCCACGCGGCATCAATCTCCTCGCTGCATTTGACGTGAGTCCAAGCAGCTTTGCCACTCTAGGACGCTAGTACTAGAGTCGCTAAGAGGAAGGTGTATTCTGCCGTTCCAAGTCAATTCAAATAGACGCAAAGTTCATCACGCATGGCGACGACAGCACAATTGCTAGTTCACATAGTTTACCGGCGATCAGTCACAGAAGACCCAATTACACCAGGTGATCACCTCTAGATTGCGAGGTGCGCACCTCTCAGTTTGAAACATGAGTCAGCTACTCGCAGCGCTAGACTCTTTTCCTTGAGGACATAATCTGTGCACGCATCTGCACTTCACCGTGCGAGGAGTGAGACTTGTGACAGCAGCAATCCGATTATTGGTGCCGCTATGGGATAGACGGGTCATGCAAAATCGCTGATGTGACCGAAGTCAAGTACTACGCTAACTGAAAACTACGGGGAGGGGGGTAGTGAGTGTGAAATGGCAAGTATAGATTTTGCGATCACTATTTGGCCCTATGACCCATAGAATTGAGGTTTGTTCTACCTGCGGTGAACAATCTCGAGCATCAATTTGTTTTCCCCTTTCCTTCTCATGTGGTGGATCCATGGAGAAACTGGCACTTTTCAGCTAGACTCCAAGATACTGACGAGGCTTACAGTCAGGACCCAGGAAAATGTTGTCTCGTTGACCGACGCTCTCAATTACCGCGCATCACACTTTCCAGCCACGCGCATCTAAACTAGCGTGTTTCAAAGACCAACAAATTTAGTACGTTGCAACGTCAACGCGCAGCTTGCTATTTTATCAAATGCATCGTTCTTGCTGACGGCAATGGCACTCAGGTGCTAATAGGGGTGCCCATATTGAACGCCCCGCTTCCCGCCGAGTCTCGTAGCAACGCACCAGTCTGCAACTTTGACCAAACCTGCGTCATTATGCTCGTCGTTGCTAAGTGCGACAAGGACGGGAGTTGGAATGTGCTGCACGGAAGTAGACGAGGACTCACAAGGTGGTTTAATTTGATTGTTAAGACTACTCCATGATATGATGGTGTGACAAGTGACCAAATTCAAGAAGTCCCCCGAACACTCAGCCAAATGCAAATCTGCGCACACCAGAGATTACTCGTCTCCCCATTGAAATTGCATCTTATGTAAGCTAATTCCCGGTAGCATGATCTTTTTGCTCTAAAGTTATTAAATTTGTACGCTTGGACGAGAATCACAACACTCATTTATGTACCTGTCTGCATATCATCTCGTTGACTTTCAGGCAGCCGGGATGACTCGTGAGTTTCAAGGGAAACAAGTTTCTTCACACAAGGTGATCAACGATGAGGTCATTCTGGGGAGCTTGTGCCCTCCCCTGAAGAGGGATACACCAGACCCTAATCCGGCTAGTGCGGCGTTTTGTCCAACCATATGCTGCACATCTGCGGTGTCAGCGTCGCCGACTAAATGAAGAGATGGAACGTGTATTGCGCCCCGAGCATAGATTTATTGGTGAGCTGGCGACGTCAAGGCGCAGACACTAATCAACATTCAAGGGTAGAACCCTGTTCGAGGTCCTGAACAGAGGTCTACGAGCAAAACGGATACCACCGTAGCACCTTCGCTCATACCTGCCAACCCATGGATAGGACCCTGCTCACTCAACACTCATAGTATACGAATCATAGATGTCGACCAATCCTCCCCGAGCCCGTAGCTTTCGTTGGTGTGGTCTGTTGCTTCCCGAATACGGGCAAACATTTCCGCTTGGCTGGTGCTCGTCAGAGAATACTGAGTGAGCAGACGCCATGATCGCGACTTTCGCGCCTCATACCCAAATCGCTCGCGCAAGAAGAAGCCGCCGGCTCCAGAAGAGAAGTCTGCGGCTCAATGAGGAGCGCTCATTGTCACCCACTCCATTCACCCATTTCCGCACCACCGTTGATGCTCCATGGAATTGACTTAGAATTCTGCGTATGTGTCCATACCATGGAAGAACAGGAGCCTAGGCATCGATCACGAGCCTCCAAAAACTTTTTGAGGAAAGTCTTATCAAAATATCTTCGCAGTGTCTACAAATTACCGATCGAGACTTGGGGCGTGGAAAGGAGCTATCGCAAGCATGTATGGAATTGAATGATGTAGATATCTAAAGCTGCGACGATGGGGGATATATTCGTGTAAACTCAATCCTGGTTGGATTGTCAATCACTTATCTTTGCTACCCTTTGGTCGTCCAACGGCTGTCCGTGCAAAGTCAAGAAGGGCAAGCATCGTCTGGCAAGAGGTCACATTAGACAAAGGATCAATACCGTCTTTTACCAGTGTCACGAGACAATCTCATTTAGGTGCGCTGAATAGCACTGGTGTGTCTGTTTGAGCTGTAATTCCAACACATGACGGCTTCCTGTTCCCTAAAGCAGATGGCACCTATCTACGAAAAAAAGAGGTCACGCCCGGTTCGTGGATGGATAACTACAGATCCGCTTAGAAGGCAAAGGCTCCATGTGCGATAGTTCCACTGTACCCAAACGAACTCAGTCAATCCAAGGTCGTGCTACCCTTGGATTGATATGCTAGACATTCCCTTGAAAAATCAAGGAAATCAATGGCCAAGGAACCGAGGTGCGAGTTGAGTAAACGCAAGGAAGACAAAGGTGCCCTCACATGTCGAGACGAGATCAGCGACACCAATCCTGCCGTCGCCGCAGCAGCTTCCAAATGCCCGAAATTACTTTTGATAGTTTAGCAGTACACTCTTGAATTGGCAATGCAAAGCACATTGATTGCTGCTCCAATTTCTATGGGGTCACCCAGCGCGGTGCCAGTGCCGTGTGCCTCCAGTGAGATGCTGCCGGCTTACACCACCTTGCCGCCTACGGCTTGAAGTAATGACCGCTAAGAAGCTCCATTTGGGGCGGTAAGGCTCGCGCTCGGACCATCCTATCAGACGGCCGTTGCAATACGTATTAAAATGCTCGCAATAGGCTAAAAGATAAAAGCAATACTGCCTTCACTGCGACAGTAGCCGTCCGCGCGGCTGTCAAATGAATGGCAACGTCCACGATTGGATAGCATGCCAGCCACGCTAAACGCGGATTAGATGCCTGTTTCAAGGATGCCACCCGCAACAACGCATGCTTGTTCACACTCGGCTCATTGTAGGCCGGAATTGGCTAGATGCGTCGCAACGAGAGCTGCTGAGCAAGCAGAATCAACGGGAAAACACGGGCCGGTGAGTCCAAGTACGTACGAGATGCGGCCCGAAGCTATCGAGACTGAATTGGCCGTCCCTTGATAGAGACTGATCTTTTCGTTCGACTCTTCTGCAGGCGCGCCAGAAAACGAGCCACCGGGCAGGACGGTAAATAGACCCGCATAGATGCCGATGAGTCGGTTTGTTAGCTAATCTTCACTGCCCAAAGTAAAGGAAGCGTAGGAAATTTCGAGCAAGTGCAATTGCAGAGGATTTACGTTGCTGGATTCTGATTTCGACATGTTCCAGGAATCATGCTGGCAGCGTACAACATCCTGCACCAAGTTTCCATAAGTAGCTGATATGGGAGCGTGTCCGCCAGCAGTCCATCGATTCATGGGAATGCCCGATCCAGCCATGACAGTCAATACCATTAACGTCCGCAAGTTTGCATCAGTCTTAGTCAAGCCCGGTAGGTAAAATCACATGCTGCCAAAAGATGGCACTGAGCTAGTAGATGCTGGGACATGCGGCGAATGAACTGGAATTCAGGAGACCTCTGGACCTTCTAAATGCTCGCGCAATGTGCTCAAGTTAGAAAATTCAAGCAACGACATCGCTGTCACATCCTTTGACAGGGCCCTACTGAGGGTAAAAGCAATGCTCGTTAATGTCAAAGAATTCACGCCAAGTTCCAAGAAACCCCGACTTGGTTCTATCAAAGATCGAGGTATGCTGGATTTAAATATGGCTGTTACGGCATCGCTTATATGGAGACCCAAATCTGGAGCGACTCTGTTGCGCGGAACCACACCAAACTATCCCAATTCCACTGCAACCGCAAAAGCTCAGACATCCGCATCAGCAGACTAAGCCAACGTCGCATGCCATCTGAGTTCCCCACCGAGACCGCCGCAACATTCCCGGCCCATCACTTCCAACATCGGAGTTCCAAGTTCAATCAAAACTACCTGTCTGGCTTTCACACAAGCGCGTATTGCGGGATAGAATAGTACTGGCAAAACAGCGTGCCCGGCCCAATATTCCGGCTCGAACGCATCAATCAGACGACCATAAACGGTAGAATAGAAACAAACTCAAGATTCAGTTGTTTTCACTGATGTGCTGGCATCAAGGAGAGCCGGAATACACGGGCAAATATGCTGCGAGTGATCTGCGTGCGAGGCTCACACCCGTCATGTCTTTAAATCTCAGGCGCATCATCAAATACAGTCGAGATTTCCAGACAGAACGCAACTGGTATGACCGTTAATCGCTGCGATAGCAACATTTGCAGTTTCTGAGACTCTGCGTTCGATAATGGCTGCGCCAGCTCGCACGGCAACCATCCCGCCTTATCCAGTTGGAAGAACGCCAATGAGTCGCCCTCGCGTTGCGGCGAGCTCGAGAGCTCCTTAAAGGGAAATTGCACCGGCACCGCAGGCTGCAGAGACCTCGCCGATCGAATGACCCAGCACCACTGTGTGAACCACACCCAGATCTGCCAAACACATTTGTAGTGCTATTTGGACGGCGCACAAGATCGGTTAAGCAAACACAGCCGCGTCGATTTGATCGCGGAATTCGTGCTCGTAGAGAGCCGAGGTCAAATGAGCAGGGGTAGTTCTGCATTACATCGTCAGGGACACGAAAATATCGCGAAATTTGTTTTTCGGGTCGAGGAAGAGTCCCTTGCCCAGCGCGAAGCGCTGACCTCCGACGGGGGGGTAAAGAAATACGACTTCGTGATTTGATGTCGAGAGAGTCTTGTCGCGCTGCTGCAATTCGCCCTCGTCTCCGTCCATCGCCTCCGTGTTAACCACAACAGGCCTGGCCAGGATATATCTAAGGGTGATACATACGAAGAAGCTGGATATATTTAAAGATGGGTCGTGTAAGCTGTAGCTTACATCCCCTCCTATTATTGTGCGCCTGGAGCGCACCCATTGACATCTTCTTTATCCGGCCGGCCCTATTCTGCACCTCATCTTACGTTCTAAGGGGGTTTTATACGAAGTCAAAGTTGCGGGGTCTAAACTCACTAACTCGTTACCGCAAATGCAATTATCTTGGCTATCGGAGATCACTTGTACAATAATAATGTAGACGGTGAGACACGCGTGCATTTATTCATGAATAAATTTAGCCATCTATTACTGTTTCATTTTGCACGAAGTCAACAGTGTTCAGACTACCGTTTAGATCTTTTCGACTCTGCTGGCGACGGCTGGTCGGGCAACTACTACACTATTATGGACGTATTCGGAAATACTGCGAGCTCGGGGACTCTGCCAGACGGCTCTGCCCTAACGACTTCGATTTGCGTTGAAGACGGTTGTTACCAAATTGCCATCACGGGTAATCCATATGGTGGTCTAGATCAGATAAACTGGGTCTTGTCGTCGATGCAGGAGCCGTTTGAGGACGTCTCTGGCAGCGGCAATTCCAATATAGACGTTTTTCTATACCAAGGTGACATTTCACAGGAAGATTGTGCCCGACCGACAGAAAGGCCTACAGTCTCGCCCAAACCTAGCTCGATATCGACAATTTCCTGCTACTCGATTGATTTTGTAAGCACATACGGTGGTGGATGGAAGCAAAACCATCTGTCTATTACGTCGGGATCATTTGAATATTCTGAAACCCTTCAAGACGGTTACTATAAAAAAGATTCCGTCTGTATGGAAGATGGATGCTACTTGTTTTCGTTTGAAGGAGGGAACTATGTCGATTCTACATCCCGCTATTTTGTCCTCAACAATCAGATCAGTGGGACTCTTCCACTAAAAGGGCGCGTTGGTCTCTACAACGGATTTATCTCCATGGGACAATGCACTTCGCCTCCCAGCTTGAGTCAAGAGCCTTCTTCTTCTATGGCTCCGACCACGTCTCCGACCATGTCTATGGTTCCGACGGGTACACATATGCCGAGCTCTACTTTCGCACCTTCCGATGATTATTGTCTTTTCACTTGCTATGGAAATCGATGTATTGACCTTGTGAATTCTTACAAAGATTCGTCCTGTTCTGATTTTGAAGACACTCTAAGCTGCGACTGCTCTAATTGTCGCTGTCCAACTGAGATTCCAACACGAACTCCAACACTCACCATGAAACCTACTTTAACGTTTTCACCCACGAATGCGCCCTTGCCAAAGCCAACGAGGTCGCCGTCTGTTTTTTCGACCACTTCTGTGGACCATTCTGATTCCAATTCCGATACCAATCTCGAACAAGAAATTTTCAGTCCACGAGTTTTACTTATTACTGCTGCCTGCGTTGTAGTTCTCTGCGTGTCTCTCTTCAAATGTTCTCGTGATATGAAGAGAAAGACCCCCTCGACTGGTGCACGAGAAGTCGTCAACTCCACCGGTTACAAGGTGGATGAAATTCACCATCCATGCAAGTTGGACGAGGTTCCAAACAAAAACCCTGTTGAAGCGGTCCCGCTGGCTCCATTGGTGAGTAATGCACCTAAGGAAATATCTTCGAATGAAAATGATGACGTGGTTGAATTCACCTACATATAGGCCTAGTATGACTTACCACTAGCACCCACTTGTATGTTTCCTGAATCTCTCGCTGCTTACAGACGAATCTTACTGTTTGTCGCCTCCCATCGATTACAAGTCGACTTACTACTACCCTAAACGAGTACTGTCGCTTCTTGATATGCCAAAGAGTACTGTCACTTCTTATGCTGTTTCTGGTTAGATGTGCGCTATGGAATATTGCACCCGAGCTCTGTTTGCAATATCGAGTGATTTTGGTGAAAGCCGAGGGAGTCTTACCACGAATCTGTAGTTTCAATGCAAAACGCTGAAAATAATGTTGGCGGTGCTTTCCGACAAGCGCAGAATAGGAGGATATATCTTGAAGGCTATATAGCAAGGGCATAGGCGGCGGACCATTGTGAAGGCGCACCCAGACTGTCGTCTTTCTCGTTCCCGTAACATCGCCGGCGGCGATGCTTCAAGTTAAGCTTCAACCTCAAACTTCGCACTGCACCAGGTGCTGCAGGGACTCTGATCCCAACAATGGTATTAGGGGACGATGACCTATGCAAACCCTAGTAGCCCACCCCCCTCTTCCACTTTCAGTAGCCCCATCTCCCTCTTCCATTCAGTCTAGTCTGCGACAAGCGATCGCGGCAGTGGACGACCGCGCTCCCGTAGTGCTTCAATTGCGGTCTTTACGTTTCTTTGCTGCTATTTTTTCGCGTGTGTGTTGTGTCTTCCTGATTTGCTCCTTGTTTTTCTGTGCTTGCGTGGTAGCTCTGTGGCCTAGCACTTGCGCGTACCGCGGAGTGCCACAACAGTGCTGATAATCACACTCGAGCGGGGCTACTGGCTCGCCGGATAGTATGGTGCCCTGATTTTCGCGATTTCTGCATGGGAGGCACCTGCACGCTATGAATCTGGTTTCAATGAACATCTTCTTTTTGCCATTTTTGCCCGTGCAAAACAACAAATCATCAGAATCCGGCTCGGAGTCCACGTGCGCCAGGGGATGTTCTTTCGGCTCTGGCGTCCACGGGGCTTTGATCCTAACGCAATACAGCTGGGTTGAATGCGCAGTCGGAGCAGCATATTCGATGCCTCCATTAAGTTCGTCTACAGTTGCCCAGCCTGGTACGTCCGTGTCAGAGTGTTTCGCTGCGCCGTCGTTGTAGCCCCCATATATGTAACAACCGTTGCATGACCACGTACCTGCAGGGCTGGGGCTTGGGTGTTTTATGTACTCCATACAAAAATCAACCATGCCCTNTGCGCTGTATACTGAATATGGAAGCGTGTCTGACCTGATCATCTTCATGCGCAACCTTGCGGGCTGCGCACCGTATGCGTCAACCGGGCCGCTCATGTGGTGCGCTGCGCCAAACATCTGCATGATCTCGACGTCGTATTTTTCTGTAATTCCATAGAGATACCCAAAGGAAGGTGCGCCCTTATACGTCGATGTTTTTCCGTCTGAAATCACCGTAATTTTTTTAAGGCCGGGCACTGCGCCTCGGGAATATGCACGCCCGATTGCGCTCATAGTGGGCGGACTCAGCCGATCATGTCGAAGCTCTCCCCATCCTCCTTCTGGCATTTGCAATTTTGATTCCTTGTGTGGTTCCTGGCCGCTGTAGTGCACGAAAATCTCTTCTATTAGGAGAGCGTTGTAATGCGCACAGTCCTTGGCCCCGCTAAAGATGCGCCAGACGTCCGTCTGAACGGGCCTTTCTTGCCCGTCCACTTGCTCGCCTGGGTTGTAAAGCACGATGGCGACCGCGCATCCAACGGCAGGGCTGATCTCGCTGGTGGTTTGTGCGATCCCGTGCAGTTTGTTGCGGTTCGCAAAGTCCGTAACAACGACGATCGATCGTTCGCCATCGAAGGTAGCAATTTCCAGCTCCTGCGCACGTTTGGTCAGTTGCTTGATCCACATGTGCTGATGCCATTTGTCTGTTTTATCTGCCAACTTGTTGATGATCTCACCATACGGGACGGAACTTTACGAACTTTCCGCAAAGCACTATCG